AAAATCTGAGACAGATTATTGTAAATGGCCCTGCAGCTTAGAAATGAGTTCTCTAAAAAGGAAAACTTAGAATAATTTCCGATTCAGATCATAATCAGATTCCGATCAAAACGGAGACCAAATAATTAGTATCTTCCTTCATGAAAAGTTTTCCAACAGCAGCTATTTCAAGAAAAGAACAACACTTTCTAATGAGAAATATACAAATTCTTGTCATGACCAGTTTTATGGATCCCATGGATTCTTCAAGGGGGCAATAGTTGCTGGAGGTCGCAATGCGTTCATATCTATTGGAACTGAATAAAAATGGATCCGGGAGAAAAACTGTATTTTCTTGGGCTCGAATAAAAGCTTGTTCGAAAGAAGAAATAAAGTATCTTTAATTAATTAATTAATTTTCCTCCATCTTGTATTCCACCTGCGAGATTCAGTTCGGAGTGAGTAGGACCAAACTATGATTGGAGCACAAGCCTTCGCAATTCAAGGTGGCATATAAACTACATCACTTCAACCTATGAGCCAACTTCTGCTCTTACATTCTATTCTTGGTTTCACAAAATCTCGCCACAGCCTGGTGAAGTAATATGACAAACCGTAAGATTAATAAAAATGGTCATAATTTTGTTTTCTATTACATTAGGAAATTCACCTAAAAGGATGAATTTTCTCTATATTTCTCTTTTCTTTAAATAGATGTTTTTGGACCTTTTCCCACCATCCAAGGAAGGACGAGCCCCCTGGCAGAATTCGCTAGTACTGGTCACGATAATTTTATTTTCTATTACATTAGTAAATTCGCCTAAGAGGATGAATTTTACCTATATTTCTCTAAATAACTGCTTTTAGGAACTTTTTCCTCCATCCAAGGGAGGGCGCGCCCCCTAGGCAGAATTCGCTAGTGTTGTTCACGATAATTTTTTTTTCTATTACATTAGGAATTCATCTATGAGGATGAATTTTCCTTATTTCTCTTTTCTTTAAATTTTAACTTAATTTATTAAGTTATTAAGTGTAAATTCTTCCTGTAACTTTTTTGGACTTTTTTTCCAGCTTCCAGAGGGTGGAGGGGGAGGGCGCCCTCCGACTGGATCCGCTAGTGCTCCCACATTCACATTTGGTATTTTGTGTCATTTCTCTTCCAAGGTCAATAAAACTACCATACCATACCTTGGTTCTCTTCATTTAACTTCGAATCCATTAATCGGTCGGAAACAACGAATACGGATAAAACTATTCCTCATAAAAAATGTTCTATTAATAGTTTGTCTAGTACTTACCAGTATCGAGTAAACGGCTTTCAGAGTTGGAACAGTTTGAATAGTCGCATGAACATAGACCAAAATAAGACACTTGTTGCAAATAACTTATAAAGCTTTGCCCTGCACAGGAGGTTTACTTTTTATGGTCAGAAATAATAATCAAAAGAGTTCCCACTTGTCTGGTGGACCAAACATCTCCAAATTCGAAAAAAATCATCCCTCCCACCTTTACATTTGGCATTTTGTGTCAGTTTTCTTCATTTAACTTAGAATCCATTAATCGAAAGGCAATAATGAATAGGAATGAAAATATCTCTCATAAAAAGTATTCAAGCAATAGTTTGGCTAGTACTTACCGGTTTCGAGTAAACGGCTTTTTAAGTGGAGAGCAATTTGAAACGTCGCACGACCTTATACAAATAGAGTACTTGTCATAAAAACAAAATGGGATATTTGTGGGAAATAATTTATAAAATTTGGCTCTTCACAAAGGTTTTATTTTTATGGTCAGGAATAACAATCAAAAGAGTTCCCACCTATTATTAATAGAACACATTTTATGAGGAATATTTTCATCCCTATTAATTCTTTCCATCTAATCAATGGATTCAAAGTTGTCGTGGTGTGTTTATTAGCAATCTGTTCAATTTAAACAGTTTTTTTCATTAAACAGATACAGTAAACCTTCTCACACCAGATAAAACAGATACAAGGTCTCCCATAAGTTAGGTGCAGGTACTTACAATCAGTGCTGAACTCATCGAATGGATCTCCAAACTGAGCAAAATGAACTCCTGAACTCCAAGGTAGGTTTAGAAACTTACCCAAGCCTTCTCACTTTTAGGTTTAGTAGGTGGAGACAGGGATACCGACGGGAAATGACGGAAACACAGAATCTGTTAAATTTAAACAGCGTTCAGAAACAGATACAGAAACCTGTTTCATTAAACAACTTCCTGCAACAGATAGGTAAACAGTTTCTTGCAACAGATTTCTTGAAACAGCTCTCTGAAACACAGGCGGATTTACGGGGGGGGGCTTTCGGGCTGAAGCCCCCCCCCCAAAATGGTTAAATGTAAGCATGTTTTATATTAAAACATTATGTCTTAAAGTATTATTGCTCGTTTAATTACATTTAATAGGACTTCAAGAATCACTTAAACACCATTTCATATTAGTAATTAATATCTTTCTGTTTTTCCAAAGTAATTATCGTTATATATATGGAAAAAAAGCTTCCGGGCTGAAGCCCCCCCCCCAAAATTAAATCCTGGATCCACTAGTGCTCTGAAACATATATCTACATTCCTCTTCAACAAATACAACAGCTCTACTGTACTTTAGACTATTTTGAAAACTTTATAAATTATTACCTACAAATGACCTTTTTTGTATAAGGTCGAGCGACTTTTCAGACTGTTCTCAACTTCGAAAGACGTTTACAGAAAACCGTTAAGTACTAGCCAAATTTACAATAGAACACTATTTATGTAGAATTTCGTGAGGATTATTTTCATTCTCATTCATTATTTCCATCCGATCAAGGATTCGAAGTCAAGGAGAAAATTGACGGAGTGTCAAATCACCCCCACATTTGAAAGCAAATATCTGAAAAGGATTTGGTTATTAATGGGATACATTTTATGTAGAATTTTATGAGAAATATTTTTATCCCTGTTCATTATTTCTTTCCAATCAATGGATTCTAATTTAAATGAAGATAACTGACCCAAAATGCCTATTGTGGGGGTGGGAGGGGAGATTTTTCAAGCATGAGGGGATGCTTTATCCATCAGGGAGATGTGAACTCTTTTGATTCTCATTCCTGACCCAACAAGAAAAACTCCTGTGAAGGATGAAACTTAAAATGCTCTTTTTGATCTAAGACCATGGGATTATCTAGGGAGGGGGGCAAGGTCAATTAAAAAAAAAAAAAAAGAATGAAACCTATTACCCCCATTTGATGCAACTTAAGAATCCAGTCATTATAAGGTTTCTGGGCTAATTGTCCTTCTGAAATTGTTTAAAAACTATTTTGTAGTACTTTGTGAGAGAATTATCTTTAGTTTAATAACTTAAGTCTCAGTCATAGATTTAAATAATAAAACATTAACTAGGCCTAGTTGAGCAGAAATTTAATTATTTAAACAGAATGATAAGTGAAAGTTGTGATATGCATGCTGTACCAGATTTTTCTAAATTATTTTTTTTAAAACCACCAGTTATTCTCATGTAAACTATTATACTTAAAAATTTACATATACAAAATAAGAACCAGGCTGTAGAGGAGGATTCCTCAGGGGAGGGTGATTACGTCAATGAAGAATTGAAGGCATGAAACTCTCCAAGTTAGCAGGACTGGACGGAATCAACCCGGAAATGATAAAGTACATTGGAAGTAAAGGCCAGATGTTTCTCCATCTTTTGAACCTGGTCTCGAAATGGAGAAGATTCTGAAGAACTGAAAATCGCAGTCATAGTGCCGATATATGAGAAGAGAAACAACAGGAACTGCAACAATCATTGAGATGTTTCCCGCTCCTCAATGTTCCCGGTAAAATACAATCGAGAATCCTAGAGGCAAGAGTGAAAGGAATTGTAGAAATCAAGATCGGAGAGGAGCAATATGGATTCAGGAGTCAAAGAAGCACATATCTAATTTTCACCATGTGACAAATCAGAGAAGATTGTCGAGAGGGGTAAAGAACTGCATGCTTCGTTGATCTCTGCTAAGCCTTTGACAGAGTTAGAAAAAAGGATACAAATGAGGTTCTAGCAGAGAAAAGTGTAAATAATGGACTTATGGGCTAAAAGCAATTTATACTTGTGTGTTCAACTCAACAAAAATGCATATATTGACAGGAAGGCGAGACAGAGAACAGGGGTTGCAGGAAGTATGTTCTGCTCAGTTAGAAGAGGATTCCTCAACCAAAAAGACGTGACCAATAAAACAAACTGGCTGTCTACAGATCAGTGTTCTTTCATATATTCTTCTTAGTCCCGGACACTCACTTCGAAGCTAAGGAGCCAGATCAAGGCTTGAGATGCGATACCTGTGAAAGGTGGAGGAAAAGACTAGGCGGAACAGGATTTGGAAAACAAACATTCCTGAGCCAATCTCGACGTTAAAGCGGTCGAAACCATTATAGAAGAGCGCAAGTTAAGATGGTTTGGATACCTTCTCTGTATGGATAGTAGCTGAGTCGCAAGAAAGACTTATGAGACTCAGGTGCAGGGGAGAAGACCAAGAGGAAGGCCCAGACTCTTCTGGGAAGAAGGCGTGCGAAATGCGTTCCAGAAGAGAGGTTTAGAATGGAACAGGAGATGAGAGCTAGTTCGGGAAAGGTCCACCTGGTCCAAACTACAAAAACCACCCTTTTTGAAATTAAAGTTATGTATTTCTGAAAAGCATGTTGTATTATTATTAAATAGAAATTGAAGCAAGGAATTACTTAGACAAATTAAACTTTAACAATTTTTAATTATAAAAAAGGTTCTTCTTGGATAAAAAGGCTGAACCACTGGAGATAAAATGAAAAATTGAATAAATATAAAACTAAAAAAAAAAAAAGTATTTATCAGACTACTATTAGCAAAGATATAACAATCATATATATATTGGTATTGGACTTTGCATTAAGGAAAGTCATGTGAGTTGACACATCAGATATTAAATTTTTTTCTGTAGTAGATATATTCAACGGAATCAAGATAATTTAAAAAATAAATCAAACACAGAAAGATAGGGGAATATGTTTATTTCATAAATACATAAATTAAATTAGTAAAAGTACATAAAATAAAATAATTCATGGCAATTACGATGTGTGAATAACCACATCTGTTTGTTTAAATTATTCCAAACAAAACTGTGCCCATTAAGTAGATGCAACTTAATAATAAATATTCTACAGCAAACAATAATTAACTACACTTAAATTTTAATTTGAAGTCCATCCTGCTACCAAAAACAAACAATAAAGAATATACATAAAAACATATATAACCTGTGCATTTTATGCAAATTATGCATTTCATTATAATCGAATACTTAAAACAACGAGTAATTCAAGAACCATAGCATTTTACACACTTACAATGATCAGATGTTCAAGGTTTGATTCTTCAAATTTTAATACAAATAATGGTTTGAAACATTACTTTTCAGCTAAAGTAAAATATAAGTCTAAAAACAAAAAAAAAAAATTAATATATTAATGCCTTAGCCGCTATGTTTAGATACATCCATAAGTCAAAGGCATATGTGACAATGATGATTCTCAGAATAATGGAGAAAAATAATCAGAAACTTTTATGTTTACAGATCAGCATTACAATGTATAAATAAAATATATAAATAAATTAATGTATGATGATTTGGTTCACATTTGGTTTTGTACTAACGAGACTTAAGTAGTATTTAACTAGCAATAACTCACCCTCATAAAAACTAATAACCTATAATTAAAACATATTCCAACATAACATATAATATGCTCAATGGAAAATCAACAATTGTTCAAAGCGTAAAATGTTACAACTATCACACAGTGATGATGGTACAGAACCGTAAAATAAATAAGTTGCCAGCAATAACTTGCAAAGCGTTATGTTTTATACAAAATTTCTAACAAATCCCCCATTGTTTAGGCCTAGTTCCTTTTTAAATGCTGGCCACATCCATTTTGACTCACTAAATTTACCTACGTTTTTAAAATCTAAACACGGGAAAAAATCATAAACAAATTACTTTTAAGGCACTGATCAGGTCTCACAGATTTGTCAATTTTTACAAGCAAAAAGGAAGGACATGAATCTTGCAACACTCCCTCCCTTAACAAACAAAATTTCTAACTGATTTACAGTTCATTTTCTTCTGACCATAGATTCCACTAGTTTCAATGTTGGAACAATGTCTTCACTGTCTTGAATGAAGCCTTTCAATCTAGAAACAAAAATATGACTAATAAGGAACAGCTATTAAATAGTAAAATGGAAACAATGAATTAAAAATATACAAATTAAGTAGCAATAAACAAGAAAAATTTTCAATTACAATAATAAAAATGCTGTCAAAAATGATTATTGATAAATGATTTGTTGACATTGAGAAAAGAATTCTACAGAATAAAGAAAAAAAACAACTTTTGTAATATAAAATTAACTTAAAGGAATATGTTCTGAAAAAAAAACAAAGAATTTCAATATTTTGATCTATTTCACAATATATGATAATAGTAGGAGGACCTTAATGGAAATCATTACAGGAGGCTCCTACTCCTTGTGGGTTGTAGCGCCATTAAATAATAATAATAACTTAATGGATTATGCTATGTGGCTTAATGGTTTCATCACATCAATGCAGAAATATATTTAAGTTCTGAAATAATTCTCCAAATTAATGAAATCCTTACAGACCACGCACCATAAATATTTAATCATTAATTACTAAGTGGTAGCTGAATACCTATGATAAACATGTAATGTTTTCTAAATTAAAAATGTGGTGCGCGCCACACAACTTTCACTTACCGCTCAACTTTGAATAAAAATTATTTTCTCGCCATGTTGGGTTATTATAAAATTTTTGAATTGCATTTTTAACTGAGCTAAAGCTAAAAAATTACAGCTAACAAATCATAAATACCATTAAAGTAACCAAAGTCCTATTTATTATTTCACCAATTGATTATGGGATTGTACAAATATTAGTTATTAAACTGTTACTTTTTATTGCAAAGTTTACTAAATCAGAATTCAGAGATTTGAATTGTCTGTCATAGACAGGTCAAAAGTTGTCGCACTAATTGGAAGTAAATACTGTTGGAATATCACAAAAGGAAATTTCATCAAACTATTCACTAATTTAATTTTCTAAAAGGTTACATGATGATTTTTTGAAATAAACATACAATAGATATCTAAATATTTAAATATAATATAGATCTAGGGCTATTAAACTATAGTAAATATATTTAACATTATAAACGTATCTATGAAATATTTTTATATTTCACTTCTTCTTTCACACAAGTGTAATGAAATAGGAGTGGATACTGTTGGAATATCACAAAGGGTAGATTCATCAAATTATTCACTAATTTAATTATCTAAAAAGTTACATGACAATATTTCATTGATTATTTAAAATAAACCATATTAATGGTACTTTAAAGGAAGACGCATATGAACATTGGACATTTAAGCCCTGTAAAGTGACATCAATGGTGATAAGACCGAAATGATATTAAAGACCACTTAATTATACAATGATACCCTGAGTTTAATGAAAATCGTTAGATCAATTTGTGAGAAAATTGTAAAAATGTGTTTCAGTGTTGATTTAAAGTGTCACTTCCGGTTAGCTAATTTTAAGGAAAAAGTTGCCTGGACATCTAAGGCATATATCTATCTTAAATATGTAATATCAGTTTTGTACGGCTTTTCGGTTTCTAGCTAAAGTATTCACATACACACAGACCATTTTTCGGGACTTGGTTATTTGGACTCAGGGGACCTCAAAATGTGTATTTGCGTTGAAAACTCAGATTCAACAATTTTCATGATCGCAATACTTACACTTACTTTATATTACATATATAGGAAAGTAAAAAGATGCAGCTCATTTTGGTTTGTATTTAAAATGTCCATAAAATATTAAAGTAATGTTCAGATTAAAACATTTGAGTGTATTGTACTTTTGAGATTTTAGGTTGCCCTTATTATGAACCTTTAGGATTTTAAACTCAATATTTGTGGGTGCATTTCCTCTAATGTTAAAATTATATTGATGACAAATAAACATCGTAACAATAGTTCGGGGAATATCAGATTTAGAAGTTTTTAAACTACATTTCTTTCTGTAGTAGAATCTATGTAACATACATTAGTTTTATTGCGATTAATTCAATTTGGTGAAATATTCAAGGATTGTGAGGGTTAATACTTGACAGACAATATAGATGTTATCAAATTATGTCTACTTCTTTCGTTAAGACTGAGTTTTTCTTAGACAACACTACACTAATTTTTCAATCTGAGTTTTCAACGGAAACAAATACACGTTTTGAGATACCCTGAGTCCAAATAAACAAGTCCCGAAAAATGGTCTATATATGTGTATGTTAGCAGTCTAGCTCAAAAACAAAAAGTCGTAGTGCCACTTTATATCAACACTGAAACACATTTTTACAATTTTCTCAAAAACGGCTCTAACGATTTTGATTAAACTCGGTGTAACCCCATTGATGTCACTTTTACAGGGCTTAAATAGCCAACGTTCATATTCGTCTTCCTCTAAATTACCTTTAATATGGTTTATTTTAAATAATTAACTATCTCTCATTATTAAAAGTAAAGAAAAAATGCTAAATATAACTTTTGAAAGAATTTGATAATTGAAGAAAGGAGAAAAATGAAGCTTATCCAGGTTGAAAATGAATCCCCGAAATACTAGTCAGAAAATATACGTATGATATATCATTGGAAAGAGGAGAATTTTAGAAAAAACAAAATCTAATATAGGAAGTTGTAGAAGTTAACGGAGAGCAGCAAAAAAATCATAAATAATAATTTTTGAAAACTGGTAATATTTAACGTAAATCACATGTTTTCAAGGAAATTAAATGCAATATTGTAACTAAATGTAAACTTTTAAAATGTTGTTAAGTTAGAAAAAAGTACTTAAAATCCACCTAATCAAGGCAATGTTTAAAAAACTATTTCATTGTACTTGTGTGAAAGAAGAAGTAAAATATAAAATCATTTCATGGATGTATAAAGCATATGTTTATAACCTAAAATACATTTACTGTAGTATAGTGATTATGGATCGGATATTATATTTAAATAATTATGTATCAACGTTTATTCCGAAAAATTGTCATGTAAGTTTTTAGAAAATTAAATCAGTGAATAATTTGATGAATCTTTCCTTTGTAATATTCCAACAGTATCCACTACTATTTCATTGTACTTGTGTGAAAGAAGAAGTGAAATATAAAAATATTTCATAGTTACGTATGAATATAAAAATATTCATAGTAGATACGTTTATAAACTTAAATATATTTACTGTAGTTTAATAACTCTAGATCTGATATTATATTTAAGTGTTTAGGTATCTATCGTCCGTTTATTCCGAGAAATCATCAAGTAATCTTTCAGAAAATTAAATTAGTGAATAATTTGAAAAATTTTTCCTTTGCGATAATTCAACAGAATCCACTTACAATTAGTGGGACAACTTTTGACCTGTCTATGACAGACAATGCAAATCTCTTAATTCCATTTTAATAAACTTTGCAATGGAAAATAACAGTTTAATAACTTATAGTCGTACAATCCAAAATCGACAAATCGTGTAATCGATAATCAATCAGTGTAGTACTTTTGTTATTTTAATAGTATTTATGATTTGTTAGCTACAATCACTTAGCTTTAGCTCAGTTAAAAATGCAATTCGAAAATTTTATAATAGCCCAACATGGCCAGAAAATAATTTCTATTCCAGATTAATTTTTTTGTTCTTGCCTTTTAAGCTAGACGGGGTGAGGGTTTAGGTTTCCTGGGCCAGGAAATGAGGGCGGGGGATTAATACTAGAGTTAAAAGCCCCTTTGGCACCGGGCAGCGAACTTGGTACTATTATTCATATTATCTGATATCGGGGTTGCCAAGCAACACAAAGTGCACAGGCACCAGCCATCCCGCCCCAAATGAGCTTTCCCTTAAATCTACTAATTTATATATTATTCAAGCATAAATACTTATAGATAAGTCCCATCTCCCTTAAATAATAAACTATTAATCCAAGCCCCATCCCCTTTAAATAATGAGAATTTAATCCACGATGTGAGGAATATCAAATAATCATAAACAAAAGTCTATAACACAATAACCCATAAAGGGTTCTGGGTTTAGTACTTTCTAAGGTAGTAGTGGTTCAAGGTCAACACTTATACAGAAGGATGATCTAGTCTAGGATCAAGCTCAACTGCCAATTTTCCCCCACTTAAAAATTAGTTAATTAAGAGCATCCACTTTATAGAGGCCGTGTATGTTCCAGGAAGATTTCCCAGCCCCAGAATTAATCTACAGCTGGTGAAAAATTAACTGTCATCAGCCAGATTTAAACCTGGGATCTTGAGCTCAGAATTTCAGTGCTTTACCCACTAGGCTACTATCCCGCTCCCTCAAATAATTATAAAATTAAATTAAATAAATTTGCAACAGCTATTCAAAAGCAGCAACTTTTAACTATAAACTCAATATATCAGTTTGTTATCTCCAATCACAATGTAACAACCATAATAATGTTTAATATACTAACTTTTCTTGAAGAGTATCTAACTGTTCTTGGGTCCAATGAGATGATGATTTCAGCGCAGCGGAAATCTGTGATGCAAGAAACTTAAAACAGTGACGGCGGGGTGCATTGTGGGGGGGATTATCCCAAACTGGAGTACCAGCAACAATTTCCCAAGCTACTGTAGCATATTCTATTACATACTCCCATTGCTGGCTGCTTACAAGAACTCTTCCCTCTTCCAGTAGCACTTTCTAAAAAAAATAATTCACATGTTAAAGTATAATACTTCATTATAAATCATTGACAATTTATAAATATTATATTTATGGTTATAAACAATACAATTTAAACAATATACCCTAATTAATGCAATATTCAGCATACTACTAATTCTGCCTAAATACTAATCATTTATTATCTTATTTTTTTCTGATCAATAAATCTGAGCTACTAAACTGAAAAATTTCAATTAACAGGCAAATTGTTTTGTCCACAATACAAACTACTTCTATTTCTTTTTTTTTTTTTTTTTAATAATTTAGAATTGAAGGGACAAGTGAATAAAGATGAGTGATATGGAGAAAATTTCATTCTCTTAAATTCAATATTTGGTTTATTACCAAGTAGATAGTGGCCTCCATTTGCAAAATACACAATCTTATAGTGAATAAAGGTGATTTCAGTTGAGTTTTCTTAGAGCTCAAAAAATGATACTTATTACCTTAACCTTTTACATGCCATTGTTCCAGAAGTTGAACACATATTAAACAATTTTTTTGGTCAACTTAATCATTATTTTTTTGCAAAAACAATTTTTTTCCATCAAAACAAAGATTGAATTTTTTTTTTTTTCAATAAAGATTTTATCACTTTTAGTTCGGTAAATAAAAAGTTAAAGTTGCTGATTTTTTTTAGTGTCGAGAGGTGTATTGATTATTTCTTTTTTGTTTTAATATTAGGAAGAGGTGCTGCTGGGTACTATCCTTCCTCATGCCTTTAATGCCTATCCTCATCATCAGAACACATCTGCTGATTGTCAACACCATGACATGTGAGCATAAATAATTAAAGAAAACAAAAAAAAAAATATTACAGTAATGAAATTTAATTTGAATATTGATTTAATTGATTGTAATAGATTACTGAAAATAACGCTTTGTAGAAAATTTAATTTAAAAAAATTTGAAAAATCAGTTTCACTAATTTCAATTGTAATGTTCCACATATGGAACAATGGCAGGTTGACGCTATAGAAATGTTCTTCCTATTCATTGTTTTCTACCTTGTTGTCTTAGTACACAATTGAACATGGAAATTCATAGACCTACTATTTGCTATTCTAAGAATTTCTATTTTTTGTATAATTCCTTACCGATAGAGAAAAACTGTGTAATTTTTTTTTTTTTTTTGTGACTGCATCGCGTTTCTTACTCACATTTTATAATAATAGGGTATTTAATTCGTGGCCTTTTTTTTTTTTTCATTAATAATTAAAAATGGAAAAAATATTTCTTCGTACCGTGGAAGAAGCAGTGGAATATTTGAATTATCTAAAATTGTTGAGTGATTGTGAATGGTGAATCAGGAAATAGATCTGATGAAGAAATTGATACATGCAGCTTTCTCCTGACGAAAACAAACCCCTAATAGACAAAAACAGTGACGAAAATTGTTTGGAGCAAGTCATTGCCAAGAATGTTTGTGAGCAAGTTGACTTATTTGTTAAAAAAAAAAAATACTGATTATAATGGTACTTCTGACGATCGTACTTCCCAAGCCAAGACTTTTTCTTCCGAAGAACAAAAGCTTCTTCCAATACAAAATAACAATGTAAGAACACCAGAAACACATTCATATCAATTGTTTTCCCCAATATCACGAATTATAAATCGTACATTATCATAACAATACATTTTTTATTCCATATTCTTACATACACATTTTCTATTAATTCTTTTACAAACAATTATAATGTTTTCCTATCATATAATTATTTTTAATCAATATTAATAAAAACAACACTATTTTTGTATTGAATAGCATTATATAAATAGGCAAACACAAATCGGTTCAGTCCCTTTTACTTCTCTATTATTCAATCGATTTTCATCTTTCTTTTATTGTTTAATAGATATTGATGAGCTTTAATGTTATTAATAAATACAAATATTAAATAGTATGTAAATAAAAATATAAATGGCAGTTTATTCAAAACGGCTAATCTCCGAAAGTTCTTCACCGATTTCTTTTAAATTATGACACAACGTCGCAATAATATTTAATAGTGTTTTTGTATACGTTTCATTATCATAAGGCCTTTCCTTTCGAATGGATTCGTGATGGAATTAAAAAACATGATTCGCTTTAGACTGTAGCGCCAACAAGCTGTATAAATTTTTATGAAGAACTCAGTATTTTTTTGCGAATTACTCAATAAGTACACATTTTTTTATTGATAATACCGATATTCATTTGAAAGCTTTCTGAATTCCCTACAAAATAAAAAAATCATCGAAATCGGACTATTTTTTGCAGAGATATATCATTTTAAACATTTAGTACTTTTTCTTTTGCAAAGTCGACTTCCTTTATTTTGGTTTTTGATAAATCGAAAACTTTTCATTTACTGAGATAATTGGAGATTATTTGAAGAGATGATATCATTGAGTGTTAGTGGAATGATACCTCATAAATTAAATTTAAAAATATACTCATTATTAACTTAAATACTGCACAAGCATTAGTTAATGGAACAGGAATGAGAGTGAAGTACTAACGGAGGCTACTTTAAATTAAAGAATTTAAATTCCAAGAATGAATTTACATTTTCTGCCACAATACTTACACTCGACTTTCAAAGAACAACTTTCCTATTAATAGCTGCATTTGCTACGACTATAATCAAATCACAGGGTAAAAGTTTTGGAAAAATGTGTGTATTATTGCGACGTCCAGTAATTTCACATGGACAATTATATGTGGCAGCAAGTAGAGCACATTCATTTAAAATATTGAAATTTATATTTTCAATGGGCATGGCTATGCACTAACCAATAACAGAACATTCAAAAAGAAAATAAAATTTCTACTGAAATTAGGGGGCGGCATGTAAAAGGTTAAACCATTTGATACTTCAATTATTTTACTTAATCACTATAGCCCAGTAACATTGTACATCGTAAGTTGCATTGAATGGGGGTTTCTGAAGATAAAGTTTTTTTTTATTTTCTTGTATGGGATATGACTAAGATGCAAAATCTGAGTTTTTAACTTCGACTTTGTAACTATATATTAAAAAAAGGCCAATGTTCCCACAAAAAAAGTGGCCCCACTGTTCCAAAATGGCAGATTAGACGACTTTGTTTTTCAGTTATTGAGATTCAGCAGTTGGCTTAATTTCATCATAATTGGTCTTTTATTAAAGCTGGATAGTCAGAGAATAAAAAAAGTCAACAATTTTTTTTTAAATAATTGATCTTGGCAATAAAAAATACCAGTAAAGTCAATTTTTTCAAGTTGTTCAAACTAAAGTTGAAAATCAAGCATCATTTGTCAATAAATGGCCAACAATAACGAAAAACGCCTTGAAATAAAATATCTAGAAAATACATTTATCTTTCTAAATCACTGATTAATTTTTAGCATATTTGAAACGATTCTTTAGAAAATGCAATCAATCAGTGGAAAAGTGGCACTAGGCGTCTACAAGTTCTCTGCCACCTCTTAATCTATTATATATTTCTTCCACCAAATAATATTTCCGTCAGTTCCTTGTTATATATTCAAAGATTTTGGATCTTCTCAACAGTGATCGCAGCATTTATTTTTTCTAATGTTTTTTTCTAGTGGTTCTACATCAATATATCAGATATAATAATTTATGTTTATATCTTTACATACAACCAACAACCTTCCAAATATTTTTAAAAATTACCATTGTAGAGACTTTGTAAGATAGGCAACTTTGTAACTAGGCAAAATTCGAAACAATCCTGGCCGCTTGGCAGTCGAGACGAACATCGGACACTGGGGGCCGTAACCGCATTAATATTTATTTCATTAATTTTAATCCTAACAAATCTGCTCCCACCTTAAGCATCTGTAGGCTGCCCTTTAAACTAGGATATAACTTTCTGATTATGGTGTCATTTGCCTAGGTAAATACTAGAAATTATTACTGCTTTTTTGCAGTACGATATTGAAAAGATGTGCAAGAGGATCTCCATATCTAAGTTTATTTTGAATATTGCATTTTGCATTTATATATCATTTATAAAATGAAAATTCTTCAGATGAAAATCTTTTAGTTCAGTAAATGAATCATTAAAAGTTTTAACAATCAGAACGAAGCGTAAGAAAAATAGATTATAAAAGAAAGCTGCTTTTAAAGGTGGAAGAAATTTACTTAAATACCTTAAAAGCCATAACATGAGTAGATGCTCTGGTGTATGCAGGCGAATCGGTTTTTGATGTAAGCCTCGATGTAGGAAGAGATTTAAAAATATTCTTCTTCAAATCATGAAGTTTGTCCATCACCAGTCTCATATCAGGCGCAGGCAGATTTTGTTTCACATCCTTAAAAAAAATTATGACATTAAAATTGGTTTGCTTAAATTTTATTATAAACTAATCTTAGATTTAATTTAAGTGGTATAAGTGAATTCCTGATCAAACAACATTCCCCAAATATATTAATTAGTGTAAATAGGGAAGTTCACCATTTAAAAAAAAAAAAAAAAAAAATACTATGAAGTAGAAAAAAATGAAGGACATATTGGCTTGGGTATTTAACTAAAGAAAAGGTATGTCTGATCTTTAATTCAGAAATTGAGTTTTTTTTTTTTTTTTTTAACCTTATGAATTGCATTTGAATCCTGTATTTAAATACACAATTCTTGAGTGGATGGATACGCATGAATCCTAACTAGGTTACACTCAAAGTAACAGCTACAGCAAATGCAAAAGGGACTCTTTATCTGATCATATCTTAAGGACTTGTATTTTTTGATATTTGAACTTCATAAACCATTAAATTGACGCCTTCTAATGTAACACTATTCCACAAAAAGTACATTATATTGGCTATTTATTCATCCTCATATTTACAAAATTTATCTTACACTAAACCAAAAAACTAGAAAAAGTTGATACACATGAATGAGATACTTAAAAGTCAACATTCAATAAAAAAAAGGTTTTATTAAATAATATATTAATTTTTAAAAACAATTTAAAAGTGTATAACTCACCTCTTCAATGCTGGAATTTCTGCTAACTATTCCCTGTATTATCTCTATAAGCTGCTCTTTTGGGAAAGCTCTGAGGGCAATATTTAGTGGCCCACAAAATGGGACAATAGGGCGATCAGATCTCAGTCTTTTGCTGCCTGGTGAGGCTTTCACACTAGGAGAAATATTCTGAAATGAGAAATATTTATTTTAACACACTATAATAAATACAAATACTTATTCTAGTTGTTGATTTGAATGTAAACTGATGTTTTGTGTAAATATAGTAATAAAAGTTTATTTATTACAGCACAATCCTTAAATACTTACAAATTGCAAGTCTAAATCAAAAAAGCTATTAAGATTTTGTTGGTTAACAGTTTAAATACAAGTTACAAACTAAGTTGCATTAATGTCTTTGATGGACTGATAAACAACTTGGGAATTAGTTTATACACTTACATGGTTCTTATACTGGTGCAACTTTGAAAATTGCATATAAAAAGTGAAACAATCTCAATTTTCAATACCATTTTCATCTGCATCAGGGTTCACCAAACTACACCCATGAAAGTTACTATGAATAGATTGTTCATACAAATTGTAAAATTTGTAAATCACTCAAACACAAGATAGCTTATTCAGCAGTAAGCAGCGCTTCAAATTGGAATTATCGAAAATAGGATAATGAAGATAAACAATAATTTCTCTTAAAGACATGGTGCGTTTCAAAATAATAAATTGATAATCTTATTCAACAATACATTAAAAAAAAAACTGGCTTAGATAATAAATTAAATATTTTATCATGGAAAATCTATCAACCTATTCTAATCAAAATTAAAAAAATCTATATTTTTTCTGTGTCTGTAATGAAACTAATTTTGATAATTAAGGCCAGATTACAGTTTAATAACTAACCATTGATATATAATTCCAAAAATTCGAATTTTTTAATATGTTGATAAGAAATTTTTACCTTCATAAAATAAATTTGAACTGTTGGATTTGGAGAGCCTCATGGTGAACCAATACTGAGGGAAAATAGAGAAAGGCCTAAAAGAAACAGCTAAGGACAAGTTACAATTCCTACAGCACAATCCTTAGCTGAATAAAATACCTATCACTGTAGCTATTCAGAAGAAATGAAAAGCTAAGATGTGGTTCACAGAAGCATACGAAAAGGCCTCTATTGCTTTAGGAAGGCAAACAAAATTATAAAATCGGTAAAAAGGAAATTCCTCAAAGAAAGATACCTGATTCTTAGAAAACGGGCCTAATCAGTCCTATCCTAAAGAAAGTCTCCATAAATGAGTACAGTAATTACAGAGGCATAGGACTCCTTCCAGTTGCCTACAAGATAATGATCAATATCCTACTAAACCGGATATATCCTTATTACGAGAATACAATAGACTACCACCAAGCTGGATTCAGAAAAGGAAGGAGCATGCTTGATTAGATCTTCATCCTAAAACCAGTACTTGAAAAATGATAGGAAGTAGCTCCGGACGTCCACGCCCTATTCGTCAATTTCAAAGCAGCAGATGATTCTGTGGACAGGAACTGTCTTTGGAAAATCATGACTGAACTGGGAGTTCCCAGCAAGTTGGTGAGATTGACAAAGGTGTGTACAAATGACCCTGATTGTAGAGTCCTAATACAAGGAGTAGTATCTGAAGCCTTCAAAGTTTGAATGGGCTTATGGCAGCGAGATAGACTTTCACCGATGTTGTTCAACTTAGTCCTAGAGAAGATGATCAGAACAACATCACAGGAAAATGGGAGGGTTCACATTGGAATGAATCATAAAATCCTTGCATACGTAGATGATATAGCTGTCCTTGGAAGTAATCAAGAGGACCTTCAGAAACTCGCTAAGAGTCTGATAAAAGAGGCCTACAAGGGCCTACAAGTAAATAAAGAAAAAACAAATAAAGGAGACATTAAGTCTGTGATGTTCATTCACTTTCAGTTCTCTTAAGACTGGATTTATTTTTATTTATGAGTGGAGATGCAGGGCTTTGAAATCAATTGTATATAAAGGAAATCAAATATATAACAAAGAGGAAACATTTTTTAAGAACAATCCAGAATTACTTATTATCAAATCTGATAAAGCAAAAAAGAAAATTACTATTTCAAAAAAAATTTAATAATAAAATGTATGACCTACAAATATACAAACTCCTTAGAAAAGATTCCTCTAGTGAGATCCAAGACAAATTACTAACTTCTTAAAAATAAAGTTATAGAAGAAAAATATAAAGATAAATTAATTAAGACAGTATATGAGCTATATCCAAGAATATATGGGCTGAGTAAACTACAAAAACTAAACATACCACTTAGACCAATGGTCAATAATATTAATGGAATTACTGAAGAACTGGCAAAATTTCTCAATCAAGCCTAAAACAATCTTAATAATAAAAATATATATGAAATTAAGAATTCTATTCAAGTCAAAGATAAGATAAATAGCTTAAATAAAAATAAATCCAGTCTTGAGTGAATGGAAACTAATGAACATCAGACTTAATGTCTGCTAAATAATAGGTACGTATTTAAGATCAAATTACTATATTCCTTCTCTCTCTTTTTAAAAGTAAAATTAACATTATATTTAATAATGATTTTATAAATAATTTTAAAACAAAATTTCATGAAATGAAGGATGGATCAAACGGACAAAATATATCATAATGATATATTAAAAGACATTTAATGAAATGGGGCATGATTGATAGGTAATTTGCATTAATTTTAAACCGAAATAATCAATATTTATTATGTTATATACTCAGTTTTAAATATACGAATAAGATAATATATGTTATAGGAAGTTTAAAAATAGAAATATTTTAAAGAAACATGAATACATTTTTTTTTATAGATTGTTGAAAACTGCTCAAGAAGCCTAATTTTATTTGTGACCTTTGGCCTAAAATCAATTATATAAATAAAAAAATGATAAAATGACCCAGAACATAAAAAAATATGAAGAAATTATATGGATGAACAATGAACTAGATCCATTATGGTAAAAAATAACTTTACCCTTTTCTTTTCTGGAGATGGTGTATCTAAAGAATCATTGAGAAGAAGTCTTTTACGAGGTGTACTTCTTAAGACAATTGTACTTGGATATTTAACAGGAGTTCTTTCTTTATTAGGACTCATTATAGGGATCCTTGCATCCATATCTGGACTCCAAGTGACAGGAAGCCTTCGCCTGCCCCGCTGTGCAATCACCATTTCATCAGGAGAAGGAGCTGGTGATATGAATGATGAAGGAATGTTAGGGGAACTCACATCAACTAACAAATTAGTCATTGCAGTTCCATTCATTCTCACTGGAAAACAAATATCCTTATAATAAAATAATAATATTTTAATATCTGTTATACATTTAAGTTATTAGAAATGTTACTTTTAACAATAATACCTATGAAAATGGAGAAACATAATTAGTAAGTAAAGTTAATGGATAAAAACCAAAGCTTTGAAAGTGATTAATGAATGGAAACATAGGTAAAAAGTTATTTTCAAAGATGATTTTAAAAAGTTTAATAATGAAGTTTATAAATATCATTAAACCAATTTATTTTCCTAGCAGTAAAAATTCAAGAGAATAAAAAAGGTTATAGCTAAATTAAATAATGATGTAAAGTAAAAACAAAATTACTTTTTGTCTAGCCGCCACTGACTACTATCTGCCAATGTTTATAACCTGAACACTGATAACTCCCATAACGCAGTGATAAGCCTTCTCCTACTTCATATCTTCGTATTCGTAAAAAAGACTTCCGTCTACTTCAACCACTTTGCTAGGTCCTCCAATTTTTTTTCTTGGCCTGTATAACATGTCATGGGCACAAACCTCTCTTAGACATTTGTTCCACATTACCATAGCTCCATAGGATAATTTCAGCTGCTCTTTGCCCCACTTAATTGTTGTCAAGCTATGGGACCACCCATAAATGAATTTTAAAGCTGTTAAAAACAAAATCCTCGAGCCCTCCAACCATGTTCCTTTCCTTATTGAAAGTTTTGTGTCACAAGTCTTATGAAAGCATCTTCATTTGGCCTTCCTGGTTAACTTCATTCGATGACCTCGTTTACACAATTTCACGTCAGCAAGTACCCCAACATTTTGAAAATATTGAATTGCCTGTTCTTCTGAAGACGGCAAATCCCATATTCTAAGAAGATCCATAATATGATGAAAATAAACGGAAAAAAAATGAAAAATAAACACAAAGGGGCCACAAACTAAAAAAACAATGAAAAATAAACACAAACAAGCCAAAAGTAAAGAATTTAATAAGTGAACATAATAAGGGAATAACTGAAAACTAAACAATGCAATAACTCAAAGGTTTGGCTGAATAAGAAGAAGGAGGTTATGTGACAAAAAGTACCTCGTAAATCTATTAAAAAATTAAGAAGTGTTATTCTATTCATCTTACAATCTTTGCTATGATTAATTACATTATTGATAAACCACAAAAGCAATTGAATCGGTGAGTGCAGAAACCGCTTCAGTAACAAATTTCAAATATTTCAGGTGAGAGAAAAAATGTCACAACTCCTCCAAATTTTCAAATATTTGAACTTTTTTTTCCTATGTCATAACATGTATTTATGTTGGTCATGCAAAAATTACCTAATTTCGACATAAATTAGGTTCAGGAAAATTTAAAATTTGATTCGGACTTATGCTGTTTTTGCACTCAACTGTTTTTTACAGACAGCTGAAAACTTGGAAATAGGTAACATTCATTAAAAGTTTATATATTTTAATTAACAATTTCTTTTACAACAATTTATATTAATTTTAATTTCTTTTACAAATTTAATTTGATTAATTTAATCAGGCGATGGATCGAACAAAAAAATGCTGCAAATTATTTCACAATGTTTTATCATTTCCAAACAGTTATACATCTACAGTAACACCCTCCTAGTAACAAAGAAAAAGAAATAAAAGGTGATTCAAATATTGGACCACACTTTTATTTTTTTAATCATTAGTAATATGCTAAAAAAATTAGCATTACTTTAGAAACACATTCAAAAATAAAAAAAACAAAACAAAGGATATAACCTTTGCAGTATAACATATAAAAAACATCTAGAGACTATATCTTTGCTCCTAATTATCCGATTTAATTTTTTTTTAGGAAATTCTGTAAACTTTTAAATAAACATTACATTATCAACAAAAAAGTATATACTTTTTAAGTTATTCGGAATCTAATTTTACCATTCCTCGTAACTTTTTTTCCAGCTTATTTTCGTTGAAGTATGCTATATAGATAAATTTAAAAGGCATCAAGAGTTAGACTTTGATAAAGTTTCATTGAAATCAGTACATTCGTTTAGGCGTCAGTCTATAGCAATGCAGGCCATCTTGAAAGGAAAAGACGGATAGTCTTAGACAAACAAATGCCAATGAAGGAGGATTATCCTCGGGTGACCTCTAATTTTAAATCCAAATTTTAAAAAAATCAGTCCAATAGTTCCGAAGAAAATGCGTGGACAGCGGATGGACAAACAAATTTGTATTCCTTTTTCAAATTCTACGTATCCTGAAACCTCAAATTTTGAGTGGGGTTAAGTTTTTGAATTTTTTGTTCGATGACAATGGTTCATTATTGAAAATAATAAACCAAAAAGGCTTGGAAATTTATATTACGTACAAACATTAAGAGTGCTAATTAACATAAAATATTGTAAAATACGTATCATCTGTATTCACGTTTCTTTTTATGAATATAAATATATTTATATTTACATTCATAAGTACCATAAATATAAATGGTATTCGTATTTATATTTTGAATATAAATATGCACATCTCTGGTGGTCAAGCGATCCAGTGATGGGTACAGAAACCACGTCAGTCACTTACTAATGTTATTTCTGTGCTCAACAATCGAAAAAGACATCATGTATTTACGGAACTACTCCAACTAACGTGGTGCTTACACTCTACACACATCCTATCTTTCTAAGCTTGTATACATCGAAAACAATTTTTAGCATTTTTTTGATTGAAGTGGTTTCTGCACTCATCGATTCAATTGATAAGAAGTCAAACTAAAATCAGAAATATGTTTGCTAGTATATTAAATTTCTTACACTTACCATTATGACGGTTATCAGAAACTGACAAAGCTCCCATTCTCGCAGGGATTTCTACCAATGCACTTCGTGTCGTCCTTCTGACTGGCTGTTCTGGAGGTGGAGTTTCCATATTTTCCCTTGACCTAGCAATAAAGAGTTATAAAAAACATTTAAATAATGACACAGTAATCTGTTCCACTGTTCAGCATAATAATTATATTAAAGTTTGTTGTTTATGAGATATATATACCCATTAATGAGCACCTATTCTGTGAAACAGCCAGTTATTGTCCTAGTTAGCACTAAACCAAAATAAAATAATTTGGAAGGCTGTACAGTGAAATCAAGTGGATAACATTTATAAAAAGTATTTGTAGCATATATATAATATTTTTAAAAAATAGCAAACATGATCATGTCAGAGCCGAAAAGAAAAATTGAATATTTGTGTATAAAATAGAATATTTTCTCTTACATATTCGATTAAGAATTCTTCCATATCCACAGCATATTTTACACTGAACCAAAATAAAATAATTTGAGTGGTTGTGCAGTGAAAACGAGCAGAAAAAAAGGATGACACTGAGGATCAAAGCCTCACGGTTGTGTGACAGTGATAAGTAGGTGTGGTGGGGGAAGCTGAGCCTAGCAGAGTCAGGTTCCAAAACCGAACCCCGATCGCCCCATAGTGACTTGAGCTGACCCTTGCTAAGCTGCTATACTGTACTAAGCTCAGCTTCTGGTGGCCAGCCTCTCATTGAAAACCTGTTTTAGAAGCTGATACAGCTCAGTTCCGCTGTGCTTTCGGTGGCCGGTCAGCCTTATACCACAATTTGTGACAAACTAATCCCTTCTGGGCACCCCTGTTTGGACCAACAATCCAAACACCATAATAAAATTAAACCACTTTTATTTATTTGCAATTTTTGAATATTTATCTTTTTATAGTTCTCAGCCATTCAATTTAAGTCGACTGATGATTCAGTCCTTGGAACTTCCTTGGAATTAATAAAATATGTATTCCATGAAATGTAAGATGATAAATTATAAAACATAAGAAGAAAAGTATTGCTGTTGCTGAGGATAGGATCCTGAAATGTTAAAAAATGTATGACAAATGATTGCTAATAAACATTAATCATTCCAAATAAGATGAATATCACCAATTAAATATAACTGAATTCTTAAGAAATTATTTAAAAAATGAAGTGATAAATATGATCAAGTTTAATCAATTGGATAAAAGCCTTAAGTTTAAAAATACTATCTTGCATTTCAAGTTGATATATATCTTTCTGCAGGTATTGAAATAATATTGCAGATATAATATTATTTTTGGAAAAACTCAAAAATAGTAGTTTCGTGGACACCACAAATAAGATGGTTGTATGTTGTGAATTACTGGTTTTTAAAATATTTAATGTGTGTTTGGACTACAACTGGATTCCAAAAATAATAAAAATTTAGGGGCAATTCAAATTTAAAACTATATCAACTTAGGTGTTTTAGGAGATCCATTTGTGTCAGAAGATAACAAATAAAAATCATAATAATGAAAAAAAAAAATGTATATCTGGGCACAAATCATTCAGATCTCAGACGATCCTATGTTTATTGTGGACATATTTCAGGAATACTTTGTTTGTACATAATTTTTTGTAAAAGACCTAAAAACTTTTTACCATAAAAATAACAAACATAGATAGATAATTTAATTAATACTATATTAATGGAAACTGATAGTCAAACAAATTATTCAAAATAAATCTCTCAGGCAGTGAATTCTATTTTTTTTTTTTCTCTTTCTCTCTCGAAGGTGTTTATGTTGTCAACAGTGGAATAATGAATGATGAAAACCAACATGTTTTCTCAACCCTACTTAGATTTCTTCATAACACAATGTATAACCAATAATTCTCCACAAGCAAAGAGAAAATCTTTCCAACATCAAATAAATCAACCTGATAAACAAATGATAATTTATACTCTTTCTAAATCTTTGAATTTAGTGAAATAATTTTTAATCAGTAACACAATTTAGGAATAGAACTATTTAAATCATATTATACCAATAAAATAATATGTACTTCCTTGGGTAGATACAACAAAATATAATAGATTAAGAAATTTAAACTGGTTTACAAGTAGCAAAATATTACAATCATCATTAAGATAAAATATATACACTGAAAAAAATTTCAAAAAGACAATAGTAGTGACAATAAAGGCATGATGCTAAAATGCTCTATCTAAATGTAAGAAGCTAAAAATGCTTAGTATCAGCATGAAACGCTGAATTAAGAATATTTAAAAAGAACAGCATAAATAAATTAAATCCACCAAATTCGTCACAATTAATATACACAAAATTGATAATTTGATTACCTAAAGTACTTACACAATATAAATAATGACTGACTAATTATAAAACATGATAAACTACCAATATACAAACAATGAAAAACAGTTAAATTAATTATAATTAAAATGAAAAACAATATCCAATACTTCTCCACATAGTTATATAAAATTCTATGAACAGGATTAGAGAATGGAGAACCAAAATACCTAAAATAATTATTTAAAAATGTAAAGCTTTAACTAAAAAAAAAAAAATTAAATGAACCATGCATAAACCTACATAGCTTCAGCCATTAAAGATGCAAATCAATTTTTTTTTCAGTACTCAACAGGAATCTAACAAAGCTTTAGCATCACTTTCATTGTATTACTTGCATAGTTTGAAGGAGTATTTACTCCACCTTCACCCTAAGAAGCAAGCTGCTTGTAAAAAGAAAATGAATGCTATAAATCCACGTATGTATTCCCGTTCTGGCGGGTAGGAACATTCCCGCGTTAATAGCATTAGCTCAGTATTAAGCCTTAACACAACAAGTCAATTCCTGAAATTATTTCTAATCCTACAACATAAGAAATAGTGGATTACCTCTTCAGTCGCTTATGAAGCTATAATCATATGAATTTTGCTTATCAGCAAAATTCCTCAAAACATTAACTCCAAAAACCCTAGAGAACCAAGGGGGGTGAGATTCCAGTTATAGGAGCCTTTTAAAGCCAGCTGTTGATGTCTAGAAACACGGTTTTCGCGGGATAATGAGATCGAGGATTTTGATTGGTTGTTTCAGGCGGGGTTGTTACTGCCGTCAGGATTTCTTCAGTCAGCTGATGTGTAAATTAGAGAAGCTACAGTCCCAGTTGCAATAGTTTACTTATAGTAAAATATGTTCGGTAGACTGATGTTTACGTATATACTGATGTCATTAGTGTCATATTAACCGAAATCAAATGTAGGGATTGTATTCAGTGTAGTTTTTAAGAATATATTCGCGTAAGTTCTTTAGAGTATGGCTATAACAATTTCTAAATTGCTGTGTTTGTTTGGTACTGTAACCTATTGCTCTCTGTTTAAGTGATTAATATCAATGTGTTTTTTATGTTTTGTTAATTTAATTTTAAGTACTTGCTTCATTTATATGTTCTTGTTCAGGAGTCATTTAGTGTAATATGGTTTTGGATTTTTTAAAAATTTGAGTAATTATTTTCTTATAATGCTTTAATTTCTAATGTATATGGTTTAACTTATTGTTTTATAAATATATTTTTTTAACAACTTAATTATTTGGCTCCTTTATATTTTTTTCATATGTCATAACATATACTGTTAGATTATGTTTTGAAAGTGAACTGAAGTGGTTGTAGAATTTCTATTTTTAATTAGATACGCATGATTATTTAGAGGGATGGATCATAAGTAAAACTTCAATATGTGATGGAAAGAGTGCTGAAGCCATTTCCCTGTGGAAATGTGTGTCTGATTATGGAACCTGATTCTTGTGAAGGGGAGTCCAACAAAATTCCAATAGGAGGAAGAAGAAGGACCAGATCGACTGGAAGTTTGCGTATGTATTTTTTAATTTCCATATTAGTGATTAGATTTAAGGTATTTAAAGAAATAATTAGATAAATGCTCACGTTAGTTTATTACTTTTAACATTAAATTTTACCAATGACAGTTGAAATTACCTTATCGTTGACATTTATTTAAGATGAACAATATTTATATATATTATTTGATATGCTGAATTTTCAATTATTTGGAATTCTATTTTTTTAGTTTGATCATCAAACTTAATAAAATCAGTTTCTAATCCTTATCTAACCTGTTATCGAATAATTGCTTTTCGATCCATTTATTTTAAATTTCTTCCTTTTTCAGTCATTGTTTGTAATTAGGAAAGCTTTAAAGTTTTTATTCTTCTGTTGTTTGTTTTCTTCTTTAGTTTCTTTAAAACTGTGTAATTATTTTTTTTTTTTTTTCATCTCAGATGTATGAATATGGATTGACAATTGATAACACTTTAATGATATACCAATATTTAACATCGATTGTATTTATATGCAGCCTAAAGCTGTGGTTGCATTGGACCCTTCATGACACGATAGGGTGGTTCTACTTTTCAGCTGGAAACATATGCCCGTGAATCACTTTCATTCATCTTTAAATGTTTATTATCCATTTAATTATATTGTATGTATACAATATTCATCAGAAATAATAGTGAAATTCCTTTAAGATTATTATAGAATTAATAAATATCAAATATGATGTTATTTATTTGATACATAATCCAAAATACAGTAGAAAATTACAATAATAGCTATTTACATTTTATTGTTAGCAACTAATTATTATTATTGCGATCTAAATACACTTATATTAATATAGAGAAATAAGTAATGAATTTTAATGACCAATAGTACACAAGAAAAAGTATTAAAAATAATTGAAGAGAAGAATGGTTGGTGTGATCAGTCATAAAAAAGTAAAAATAAATAAATATACTTATCTATTTTTACTTTACTTAATTTTTTTTTTTTTTTTTTTTTTTTTTTTACTGATCACCCCAACCATTCTTTTCAATTATTCACTACAGTCAGCCATCAATCCACAAAAATTAAAAATATTATAAAGCATTGTTAATTTATTTTTTTATCAAGCTCATCATCACCTTTATTCTATAGTATAATCAAATATGATTTGGGTTCTGCTTATTACTTTAAGTTATATGTAATTACAACTTATAATTCATATTTAACAAATTAAAAATCTCATTTCAATAAAAATGATCTTATTTTAAATAAAATTGATATTTTAATCTATAATAATTATATCATTGTTTTTTTTTATTTGTTAATTGCATTTTTCCGGGATTAATTCAATCCACACCTGTTGTTAACCAAAGGTTTTTGTTTTTTTCATTTAATTTAACATATGTGGTTTATTATCTTCAAGTTATCGTTTATTTATTTTGCGATTTGTTTCAGCAATTATAATTATAAATTGTATTTCATACATGACATTGTACATACGAAAAGAAAAAGGTTACCTAATGAATTAAGATATTAATTCATTAATTTACTTTTCATTTTTTCAGCTCTTGCCAATTATTAATGGAATGATCCAAACCATTCTGTAAAAAAAATCTATTTTTGCCTATTCATTAATTACATTTTTCATAAAATTATAGTAATATTATTTCAATGAAATATATTAATCAAACGTCTAGATAGAAAAGATGTGGCTACATTGGATACGAAAGTCAAACATGACATCCTTGGCATTTCAAACAGGTTTGATCCCAAACCAATTTTTTGAAATGACGGTTCATAATATTATTACTAATAACATGAATAATATATACAATTAAAATATACAGAAAATCATAGTCGTATTTGAAAAATTAAATAACAAACTTTATCCTCAGAAACTAATTAATAAATTATAATGCATTAAAAGTTAGAAAAATAGGAATACATATTGAAAATCAAAGTATGTAGTATACCAAATGAACCTAAAAAATTTAACATAAATAAAAATATTAATTTTGAACTTGATAACAATAATAATAAACTTAATGATATTACAAAAAGGTTTGCCAAGTATAGCTCAGGTTTGCCAAGCTGTCAGTATAGCTTTCTCACCGTTTTCATTGACTAAAATATTGAAATTGTACAAGGTATGCAATTTTTCTTATGAGAATAAAATCTCTGGTAGAAGCCGATTCGGAAATACAGTTACCCTTCCACATTTGCAGGTTTAATATCCATGAATTTCGTTTATCAGCTAATATTAAAATGCGAAAGGGTGCCGTATTTGAAGATTCCATATTTGATTATCCTTAATTAAAAAAAAAAAAAAAAAAAAAATACAATGCATACTGAACATACATATCACTACTGTTATTGCAAAAGGTTGTTTGTAAAAATTTATTGTTTTGCAAGAGTGCATAAAACTCATTATATATGCTTTATTAGTATAATTTCATATTTTATTGCTCTCTACTATTTTCCATAGTAGTAGACTAGTTATTTCAGTTGCAGACTACAAAATGTCACCTTTACCACAAATAGTTGTGATATATACTTAATAGTTATGTTTTCACTCGTAAAATGGAAGAGAGATAAAATCCATAGGAAAAATTTAACTTGTTTGTTCGGAATTAACGTGGCCAATACTTTCCTTCTGTCAGAACAAAACGCTTTAAGCTAGAAAATATAAAAATATGGGTGAAGTTCGCATAACTTTGATATTTAAGGAGAAAATTGAGACCAAGACGAACTGATTGAACTTCAAAGGAAATAAACACAATCAAAAGTAAGACGTTCTTTTTTCTACAAACTCAAGAGTATAAATTATTTTAAATGTATTGAAAATTACATGAAATATAAGTAACGGCAGTAAGTGTCATGCCAGTAACGTTTGGAATCGACCAAACAACACATTATCAATTAATTTTTTTAATAAAACCTAAAATTTTATAACCCCATCATAATATTGTAATAACCTAAATCCCACTACATATGATCAGTGCCTTCAACATTTCGCAGCCATTATATTGTTAACAATTATTTATATTAATTTTGATTATTCAATGAAATTGATAATAAATAATTTCTATACTGTTCTCTAAATTTACTCCAAGTTTGGGTCAAATCGAATGCGCCGTTTTCAAACTATAGGCATATCAAATAACACATTTCCTGATTTGAAAGTGGAAGTATTTTTTTGGGGGGTAGTAGATAGAATTGGATAAAATCGGTGCCTATTTCATTTTACGTTTGCCAATCCCTAAATTCCCTCAAAATTTGAGCCAAATCGAACTTGCGGATTTAGAGATATAGGCGTATCAAGAAAAACGCGTTTGGGCATATATATGAGAAATTAATGGATAGAATTCGATAAAATTGACCCTACATTATTTTTTCACAAATAACTACCTTTTATCCAATTTTGAGCCAACTCGAACGAGCCATTTCTAAAATATTGGCATATCTACAAAAATGCGTTTTCGTGTGCGTAAGTGGAAGTGCTGGTTAGAATTTAATGAAATTGATATGGGACCATCTTGGCACCAATCCGCATAATCCCTGAAAATTTCATGAAAATCGGATGAATGATAATAAGTGATATGACCTTCACATCGATTTGAATACAGACAGACACCGAACCAAATTTGATCCTTGATGTCTAAAACGTAAAACGCGAGTGAAAATTTATCGATTATGAGCACAAAAATTTTTGTTATCCCCTCGCACGAAAAGATAGGATTAAAAAATGATAAAAAAAGGTCTTACGGGAACTTCTAGCCCTGATGAAGGCCTGAACTTTAGGCCGAAACAACAGCTAATTTTTTATTCAGCTCTTCAGCATAATTATTTATTTTTTTACGTTTCGGCCTAATTAGCAATTTTTGGAAATTCTAATAAAAAAAACTAACAGTCAAAATACAAATCTTAAAATACCATGCAATATACCACTCAATGTTCATGTTTAAAATAATTATTTATTTAATGTCATTTTCAAAAGCTAGCTTTAATTTTTTTTTTTTTTTTTTATTTCATATTTTGTTTCCTAGCCATATATCTTTGTAAACAGTATTTCTAAAAATAATAAAAAATTTCTTGTTTAAAAGATAGTTGGTTGTAAATGTGTTTTTGAGAGCATTTGTGGCCTTTTAAACTTTAATACATTAATGATTAAGTTTTAAAAATAGATATAAAATAAAATGTACCCAATGCTGTAATGTAATGATAATTTATTGGAGAAAAATTACAAAATTTAAAAAATAGTTAAAAACAATTTATAACTAATGCTAAAATTAAACATAGTTCTTACTAGAAGTAGTATTACTAAAACCTGATTTTGATAATAAAAAACATTAAATAGTACAGCCAATAACAAAATTTGAAAGTGTTTAGAATTAGTATAAGTTACTAGACTTATAAATGATGTTTTTAACTTTAGATCTTATGTTAAAATTACAGTAATAAGCATAATCCCAATAATATAAGTTTTATTTTTATTTTTGTTGTTTTATTTGAAATTTTTTTTTTTTAAATCTGGTGCGTGCAACACACAACTTTCACTTACCCTTTTACTTTGAATAGAAATTATTTTCTGTCAATGTTATAAAAATTTTGAAGTGCACTTTTAATAGAGCTATAGCTTAAAGCTTACAGCTAATAAATCATTAAAACCACTAAAATAACAAAAACTCTATTAATTATAACAATAGTAGACAATAAAAACCTAGGTACTCCACTCAATCTGTTCCTTTAAACCACATAATTTCAGTCTCTGAGCTATATATATATATATATATATATATATATATATACATATACCTAGAGAGATTTGAAAGTATATCTCTATATCCAACCTATAAATAATCGATTATAGATTGTACGCCTATAAGTTATTAAACTGTTATTTTCCATTGCAAAGTTTATTAAAATAAAATTACAAGATTTTCATTGCCTTCCATAGATAGGTCAAAAATGGTCACACTAATTTTATGTGGATAATGTTTGGATTCACAAAGGGAAACTTTATCAAATTATTCACTAATTTAATTTCCTAAAAGGTTACATGATGATTTTAATGAATAAATGGACGTTGATACCAAATTATTTAAATATACTATCAGATCTAGAATTATTAAACTAAAGTCAATATATTTAAGGTTATAAACATATACCTTATACATGCATGAAATAATATATTTCACTTTTTCTTTCACATAGGTACTATGAAACAGTTTTTTTTTTTTAAACAATGCCATTGCCTTGATTAGGTGAATTTTTAATACTTTTTTCAAAATTAAAAAAAAAAGTTTATATTTAGTTAGTAAATTTCATTTAATTTTCGTGAAAACATGTAATTTCTGTTAAATAATATTAGTTTTCACCAATGATAATTTATAATTTTTCGTCACTCTCCATTACTTTCTATATTTGATATTGTTTTTTCTAAAAGTATCCGCTTTCCGATGATATATTATACATATATTTTCTAACTAGTATTTCCAGAAATTCATTTTTGACCTAAATAAACATTTTCTCTTTTTCCTGCATTTTTCAGTTATCAAATTCTTTCAAAAGTTTTATTTAGCATTTTTTCGTAACTCTTAATAATGAGAGATAGTTAATTATTTAATATAAACCAAATTAAAGGTACTTTAGAGGAAGACATGTTCAACATTTAATGTGCATTTTTAACCAAGCTAAAGCTTACAGTTAAAAATCATTAATGCCATTAAAATAACAATAATCCTATTTATTATTTTGATGGTTGATTATGGATTGTACAACTATTAATTATTAAACTATTTTTTCCATTGGAAAGTTTACTGAAATGAAATTACGAGATTTGCATTGCCTGTTGTAGGTAGGTCTAAAGTTGTCACACTAATTGTAAGTGGATACTGTTGGGATACCATAAAGGGAGAATTCATCAAGTTATTCACTAATTTAATTTTCTAAAAGTTTACATAATGATTTTTCGGAATAAATGGATGATAGTTACCTAATTATTTCAATATTTTATCAGATCTATATTTATTGAACTACAGTAAATGTATTTAAGGTTATGAAATCCATAACCTATCCATGAAATATTTTTATATTTCACTTTTTCTTTCATACAAATACAATGAAATAGTATTTTCAACAATATCATTGCCTTGATTTGGAGGATTTTAAATACTTTTCTCAAACAATAAAATTTAAACGTTTTGTAAATTTTATATTTTGTAAGAAAATTTCATTGGAAACGTCTGATTTATATTAAATAATTTTAGTTTTCAGAAATTATTATTTATATATTTTTCGTCACTCTCCGTTACCTTCTATAATTTTATTTATTAGATATTATATTTTCTAAAATTCTCCACTTTCCTAAGATATATTATACATATAGCTTCTGATTATTATTTCCGGAGATTCATTTCTTCCATGCTAAACTTATCATATGCTGGAAGATTGGAACCCAAATTCTTCAGTATCTGAGGAGGGATTCCATCAATTCCTGCTGATTTGCCTGCTCTCTGTGCTGCCAGTGCATCTGCAACTTCCTCATCGATGTAATCATCTTCTTCCTCTCCTCGGCTTTCCATATTGGAACAATTTCTTCAGATGGCTCAGATTCAAAAAGTTCCTTGAAATATTCTGCCCTGCGTTCCATTACTTCTTTTGGGTTGGTGAGAATGTTACCGTTCTTGTCCTTAATGTTCAACAGATGTTCTAATAATCACAATACCAAACTTATACTATATAAACTTTATAGAGTATCTTATTTACCTCTGGGGATTGTTAACTTGTTAATTTACAAACTGCCTTATAAGAGAGAGTTTATTGTATTTTTTTAGTTTGATGTTGAAATATACCAAGTATCATAAAATTTATTTTTAGCAGCTTATAATTGGAATAAGCAAAGTGGTGAATCTAGCAGTAGTGTTGGAGAGTGGGAATTATCAAGAGAAATCGGGATGTCTAGTCTCCATCAGGTAGGTTCAAAACTATGCCATGTGAAATATGTTCTCTTTTTGGTTAACTTTTTTTAATGATCTTTATATTCCTTTTTAGAGTGATAGTGATGACATTAGTGGAATTCAAGGAAAGGGAAGTTTCTTTCATCTACATTCCAGGCCTAAGCTTTGTCTATTGCCAAGTATAGAGTCTGACTCAGTTAATGAGAACTTTTCACCTGTTCGACCTACCACACGCAGGTGAACATTTAAATGTGTTAACTAGCGACTTCTTTCAGTATTCATCCCTGTCCTTCAATGATTAATGGTATTTATTTAGTTTATTGTGAGTAATTTTAGAATATCACCAAACAGAAAAAAAAGGTCAGTACGTGTATGTATATCTATATAAAAAAATTCAGCTTTTGAATTCTGATAGGAGGCTATACTTAGAGGTTATTCTTTATTGAGAGTTCTCTAATATTCTAGTATGCTTATTTATTATTTTAAATATTATTTCATGTATATTTTAGTTTGGTTTACTCAGAAAAACAGGAAATTTAAATTTTATGTTTTGTTAAGTAAATCAAATAAGTTTTTTATTAAATTTTCAAGGGCTTATATTAATAATAAAATTTATAATATCTAAGAAAAATCTTTTTTTTTTTCACACTTTTACATTTATTCCATGCTTAAATTCATCTAAACTTCTTGACGATGTTTCGGGCAATTTTGCCCATTTTCAAGTCGAATATTTATATCATTATCATATAATTATACTTTTTTTTATATAATTATTGTAACATTTATCTCCTCAAATTATAAAATTTATAAATTATTTATGAAAAGTCAATTCTAAAAACCACTGTGGACAGTCAAAAAACAAAAATTCATTTTAAATTTACTCAAATGCTACACACTTTCGTCTCTTTAAAAACAACTGATAGTTTCGAAAATTTGAGTAATTTTAAAATTAATTTTAATTTTTGACTGTCCACAGTGGTTTTTAGAATTGACTTTTCATAAATAATTTATGAATTTTATAGTTTGAAGAATTTGAGGAGATAAATGTTACAATAATTTTATAAAAAAGTATAATTATATGGTGAATAGTGATATAAATATTGCATACAAATAATGATACACAAATGCAGCCTAGTATACTGGACAAAATTTCCTTTGAATGAAAATAGAATTTGTTTTTGTTAAAAGTATTTTAAGGGAATTGTAAGCGGCTAAACTATGCTAAGTTTTTTTTTTTTTTTTATATAAAATCTTTATATGTTCAAGATTTTTTTCAACTTCTTATGGGACTACAGTTCCTTCACTTTTAGGATAAGATATTTGTTAATAAACTTGAAGTTTATATTCATTAAGTATAAATTTGTTATGGAATAAAGCTTAGAACCACCTCCAGTTATGTAAAAAAAAAAAAATAAAGTAGATGTAAAATAGTATCATCTCTAAATTATTTACAATAAATTAGTACAAATCTTTTATTTGTCTTTTTTGTTATGTATCGAAAATTAAATATTTAAAACTACACCATCAAATTTTATAATTAGTTATCATGATAATCTACACTATACATAATATGGTAGCATAAATTGTTTTTCTGGCTCTCAGGAGCAGTGGATTTTGATGAATAAGAATAATGAAAATATATACAGGAACATGTATTTTACACTTTTTTTTTTTTAATGAATTTCTATTTCTTAACTTCCTTCTTTATTTACTATAATTTCTGGTTGTATCTTATATACACTGACAGGCAAAAAATTCCACCCACTTGATTTTTCCATGTTTTTCTCTAAAAATATTTGTATATAATACATGGTATTTGTAGATAATACTCAGTATTTATGGAATTTTATAATCATTTTACCTTTAATAATCAAAATGTGAGTGGGTAAGAAAAATTAGAGAAAAAAAATTGAAAAATGAACCATTATTATTCTAAAAAAAATTAATTACATCACCGTTTAGTAGCACGTGTTTCCTCCTCTTGCCCTCACTACTTCTTGAAGACATCTCTGCATACTTTCCACCAGTCAGGAAATGTCCCTTTGTTAGAGGATAGCCCATTCCTCCCGAAGAGCCCTTTCAAGGTCCTGCAGTGTATCAGGAAGTGTTGCACGCGCTCTTATTCGTCTTCTGAGGTTATCCCATAAATGCTCAATGGGGTTCAAATCTGGAGAACGTGCTGGCCAGGCTAAAACCTCAATATTGTTCTGTTGAAGGAACATCTGCACTATACGGGCGACATGTAGGCGTGCATTAGAATAGAACGATCGCCGATTACATTGAGGATAGGCAACACATGAGGTTCCAAAATCTCATCTACATAGCGAATGGCTGTCAAAGACCCTCCACGAACAACAACCAATTCTGTGCGGCACTCCATTGAAATCACAGCCCACATCATTAAGGAACCACGTTGGAAAAGTTGGCTCTGGGAAAAATTACAGGCTGCATATCTTTCGTTTCTTCTTCTCCACACCCTTTCACGCCCATCTGGAGATCAAAGAGCGAATCTTGACTCATCTCTAAAAAGTACAGCACTCCATTCGTTCATAGTCCAATGGCTGTGTTCTCGAGCAAAAGCCAGCCGTGTTACTCTGTGGTCTGTTCTGGTCAACTCTGGTTCTCTTACTGGACGAAAAGCCATTAATCCATACTCATTTAATCTTCTCCGAGCGGTACGTTCAGAAATTTGCATACCTCGAACTTCTTCGAGCTGATGAATCGCTTGAACAACGGTAAGGTGCCAGTTTGGTAAAATTCTCAAAGTCAAAAACCGGTCATCCCGTGGTTCTGTTACCCTAAGCCGTCCAGAATCTGGCCTTCTATTGTAAGAACCAGTTTCCCGAAAACGCCTGACGGTGTCTCGTAAAGTTTCACATGGAACTCTGATGGCATTAGCTGCCATATCTAATGGAACGTCCATCATCAATAAGTGCCACACCACGCGCAACATCCTCAGCACTAAGAGGCATTTTTAAACTTAATATTGAAAAAATTAAAAGCCGGAGACTAAGGAATGTGCTGCAAGAAACGGCACTGAACTAATGATACTGAATAAACATTTTGATTCCATAGAAAATAAACATTGGAATCTATGATCATTTCATTGAATTAAGGATTAAGGGTTATTGTCCTCTATATTAACATTCCTAATTAAAAACAAACAAAAAGATTACCTATATATTCATTAAAAACAATAGACCAATCCAAAGCAGAAATATTTTTAGATGAAAACATGAAAAAATCAAATGGGTGGAATTTTTCGCCTGTCAGTGTATTTAAAACTTGAAATACTTTTCAACTCTCTGATATGCTCAATATACATTGCTAAACACATTAGTTTGAAGAATTCACTTACCCAGTCAGTTCACTGGTAAATTTTGTATTCTTCTTCTTGATGTTTTTCCTAATATTTATTTTCCAGTCACTTAAAGTTTTTGTAGTCCTCGTTCATTATCCATTATTGAATAATTCAATGTCCTGTTCAATATTGAATTTCTCCCTTGCTTTTTTCAGATATTTTTTTTATCATCCAAATTGCTTTTTTCTTAACATTATTTGATTACAGTATAACCTATTTTGTTTAAAAACGTTGCTAATAATTTCAGTATCGTAATAATTTACTAAATTATAGATCTGTTAGTACTCCGTGAGACAGAAAAACAAAATTAATGAATATATACACGCAAGTACATCTCAGAAATCACTACCTAAGTAGTTCAATTAACATAATTTAATATACAAACAGTAAGTCATGCAGTTACTACTAATTCTTTTTATGGAAGAAGGAAGATGTTTAGGCCGCTTACCAGATAATCTAATTAGTTAATTATTAGAATCTCAACATTTTGAGAATGTTGTTAAAGCGAAGGTTTATCTACATCTTTATGTCAGAGCATAACCTAGTATGAATGCTTTGAAATATTAATCAAATCATTCAATAACTAGTTTAACTGATTTTTGTTTTATTTCTAATTTTGAAGTATCAATGTTTTTAGGACCATTTCGAGGTTGCTGTGTAAGTATATGGTATATATTTAATACTATAATAATTTTTTTAAACAATACTTGATAATCAGTTTAATAAGTTGTTAGAATGCATCAGTGAATTAAATATAAATATTTCATATAATTATGTTGAATGACTGATAATTGTTTGGTTCAATTTTTGGAAATGGTGAAGATGTGAAAAATCATTTATTGTTTTATTTTTTTTTGCCATTTCATTTTATTGCTTTTCTAAATTGTTGAAGATTGTTGTTTAACACTTAATTTATGTTGTATTAACCAGCACCTCTTCATTGTTATGAATGAATGTTCCATTTTTCACTCAATGTAGCATGAGATTGTTTGAACACAGGCTTCATATGTGTGCTCAGTTTCTTTTGGGGTTGCTTTACCCTTATATTTAACATATATTTCTATTTATAATATTTTTTCAAAACAGGGCTGAACATATTTTATCTGTCAGGCTGATAAATTATTTTAGTATCCCCTAGAATCAAAAGTGAATCAGATTAAAATTTAATGTCATCATTAATTTTAAAACTTATATAAACAATTTTATATAGAGAGAGTGAACATTGTTTGTTATTTGATATCAATAACATAAGGTAAAACTGTCATATTTTTTTTTTCTGATTTTATTTACAAAATATATGCATACATTATATTGTGCAATCTTATAATGTGTGCATATGTTTTTGTGAACAAAATTGAAAAATACAGATAAAATGTACATTGGTTTAACTTAGCACAGCAGTTCTTCCTCCTTCTGAAATCTTTGCAATGGGTGAGCCATAGTAAAAAGAGTTTAATATTGAAAAATGACAGAATTGAAACTTTTCTTATAACACTTTCATTATGGATATAATTTTCTGAAATTTTGTTGCTCATAATTTTTGAGCTTTGTACAATAATTTATTTATTAATTAATAATAATCAATCACTTATCTAATTGTATCGTAATAACATTTTGTATTACTACAATTATACTTATGTTACAATGCAATTAACTTATGTTGCCTGACTTTTTTATGTTTTTGATATATTTATTCATAATTAAAGAAATTTTATAATTAATTTATAAAATGTTAAAAAAAAAATTGTGATTACTGACTTCTTGTAAGCTGTATTGCATAACTTATTTTGTTATTTTCTGTCCATGTTTCCTTTGTCTTTCTATTCTTTTATACTGTTAAATTTAATTTGAAAGATTGTGGTTTTATTTTTGTTGTATCTATTTTGTATGATGCTAAAGAATTTGTTTGTCTGAATGTACTAATTTCAGTTAGTAAAAGTCCAATTTGAAAAAAAAAAATTGTTATTTTTATAGGTAATTTAGGTAATTAGGTAATTTAGGCAATAGGTATAATTATAGGTAATTTCGTTAGTATATTATTCTGTTAATGTATAGTTTGCAGACATTCTTAATAAAACACAGTAGAAGAGACTTTTTCTCGCTAACAACAATGACCATATTAGTTACAACAGACTTATTAATCTAATCAGTTTTTTTTTTTTTTAATGATTTGTCCTTTTGTTTTTCTCACAGTTGTTTAGCAATTTCTACTGCACACGTTAGGCGAAAAAAATTCAAACAACAAATGTTTGTTCTACTTCTTTATATTAATGTTACACAGAATTTCCCAAAAAATATAGATATATATATTTATGAAACTGATTGTTCGATACTCCCTTATTTTCTTCCAACTTTGAACCAAATCGAACAAGTCATTTTCTAAATGGCACACAGGCAAAAATGTTTACCCATATATAAGTGAAAGTAGTAAATAATATTTATAATGATTCTTTTTATACTAATACCCAACTATCCACCAAATTTAATCTAAATCATGCATGCCTTTTTGAAATATAGGAAAATAAAATGCATTTATACATACATAAAGTAAAGTAGGAGATTAAATTTCTTAAACTTGATATGAGGCATTCTAGATACTAACCATCATAATCCCTGAAAAATATGATCAAAATTAAATTGATAGTAGTTGGTGTTACAGACAGAAACAATTAAGTTTGTTCCTTGATATGTAAAATGTTTAACATGAGTGGAAATTTTTTATTTTGATTGTTCTGAAGTCTCATAGATGGTCAATATTGACATACATTCCTTGCATCAGCTTACTAACATAATATTATTTATTGAATGTAATGAAGACCAGACTAAGACAACGGAAAGTTTTTAAAGTGTTTTCCTATAAACAAACAAGCAGGAACAGTCAATTTGGTTCTTTATTGCGCAATTTAACAGATTTCAGAAGTTGTGAAGTTAATTTCGTAATATATTTTACTATGATTATAAACTAATTAAATTAGGTGTTTTTAAACTAATATGTTTCAATTATTTTCAAAAATATTCTTTTTGATCAAAAACCTTAAAGTGAGGCCAAGTTTTTCAACAGATTTGATTGTAAGAATGAATAGGAAAATAATTTATGAGGTTGACTATGACACTTTTTTATTTATTAATATAATTATAAACTTTTATATTTATACTCAAATATAAAAATCAAATCATGACTTTTAATTTTCATGTTAGACCTACATAGGGCAAATGCATCAGTGGCTGACATGCTTAAGGAAATTTCTTTGAACTTTTATGTACTAAAACATAAATATTAATGTTATTTTATTTTTCATGAATTCATCTTATATAACTATTTCTCATCTTCCAAGACATATTTCGAATCCATGAAACACTTTTTTGGTATAGGAAAACCTATTTTTGCTGTAAATTGAATCCAAATCATTAGCAATTTCTTTTTTAATGAGACAGTAGCGAATGGTTCCATTTTTAAGACCCGTTATATTCAGTATATCTCTTCAAATTTATGAGAGTACATGTCTTTCAACTACTGGCAAAAATCCTCATTACAAGGCTCTAGTAGCTGACACACATTAAATATCCAATTCCTTCATCAAGATAAGTTTAAATAGATAAAATATGATTTAAAAACAATCTAACAAAAATTTTGGAATAAATCAGAGTAGTTAAAGAGAAAAGGGCAAACCTAAGATATTGCACTCTTATCGACAGATGGTTGTTCCTGGGACATTAAATGGACCAGTTGCGATTTCCGGTAAGACTAAAGCAAAGCAGACAAATATATATGGAAAAATATATGAAATAGGGGTCTAGGAGATCCTGAAATTTTATTATTCCATTTTTTCGAGGAGGATGTCAGGTACTGCTACATTTTCAGCTATTGGTGCTTTTATCCTATTATTGATCTTTAAAAGTTGTTAGTAAATGATTGTTTGTAAAAGAATTAATAAACCCAGACTGACCTTACTTAAACACTTTGAAGAATAATTCAAACTTTAAAAGGTATAAAATTAATCAAGATAAGTGGTAGTAGGGGCTCACCATTTAGTTAATTAATCAGATCAACTAGCAATGGTTATTTTGTTTATTGCTGAAGGTAAATCTTGGTTTAAATGTCAGTGATCCTCTTTAGTTGGCATTACACTACCCAATAATTTTACTAATGAAGAACTATTCAAATTAAAAATATTTCTGAATCAATAATTATAAATTTAACAGTTGTTTTATTAGAGAAGTAGAGTTATGAAAGACAATATTAGGTTGCTTAGAATAGTAAAGGCTAATGATCATACATTTTATTTCTTATAATACTAAAATTGTTTGTTCGACTATTAGTGATATAATTCATACTTATTTGTAAATACTTTCCAATTCTAATTGTTCTTTCTTCCTGGAATAACTCTCTCTGTATCTCACCTATTTTAATTTTTAGATAATGATAACATTGATTCTAGGCAATACCATTTTTAATGTTAATTCTTATTGAATATTTTATTTCACACGTCTGCAATTTCAATATCATGATAAATTAAAAAAAGTACTTTTTTTTTAAACTTCTTAGATTCCTTAAAAATATATAATTGTTTCATACTAAGTTCAAAACAAATTTTGGAAGCAGTGTTGGTTTTCTAAGGTGTGGGGTAACGCAGCAACTCTGACTCCAGTAATACCCTGGACTTCTAACTCCCGGACTCACTTTGAGTTGGCTGTGAGAGATAATTTATAATATTCTGTTATATTAGCTGTGTTCTGACCCTGGAGTTTGCTATTTTTTTTTTTTTTTTTTTTTTTTTTTAGTATCCTTTGTCTGAGCCATACTTCAGAATTTCTACTTTTGGCTCAGACTCTCTTACGAACTGTTATTGAAAAAGCAAAAAGAACATTAATTAATTGCTGCTTGGCTTAAGATACTATGTTAAATATAGGCTTTGTAATATATCGGATTCAATTATAAATCTGGATTTTTTAATTCTTTTTGGAGTAAATCCAACCCCTGCTATATGTTGCACCCCTATTAACCTTAATATATTGATAACAAAGATAAAAAAGGAAGGCTTTGAAAATATTGCTATTTTTTGTTTTGTTTTTTTCCGTTGTGGTCTGCCTTTTTTTATTCATGCTTATTTTTTTCCCCTATCTAATGCAATAACCATTTGTGTTTTTATTTCATGAATTTTAAACAATCCAATTCTGGTCATTTTATATTAAAGCTTTTTCAATTCTCAAATAACACAGCTTTCCTTCTATGTCTTTTTTTTTCCTTTCCTTTTTTTTATTTTATTTTTTTTTTATTTTTCTTTACCCTTTGTTTTAATACATCCACAATGCCATTTAGTTCGCTTGCTTTTTAACTATTATGCATTTGAAAGGCCAGAGGTTTGATGATTGTGTGTTGTGTTGCATTGCCTGAAGGTCGAGGGGCTTATTCAAAGTGTTGCGCAGGAAGAGGAAGCTCAAGAGGATGGCTCTGGAGATGTCCGCTTCAACTTCTTCAAGGGGGCCAGGGTATACTTCAGGGAAGAAGAAACGGATTATCAGGCATGCTCCTACTTGTGAAAATAGGTATTTCAATTTTAAATTATATTTTTCAATAGAAAGAGAAGAGAAAAGTATTTGTAATAATTTTATTCACAATCATCTCCAGATATATACTAACAAGGCATGAAAAGTTATTATGTTGAAATAGTTCAGTATATATAGCGTATCTCCACAACGGAATTTTTCTACTACATTGGAAAACATTTATGTGCTAAGATTAGGACATTTAATTTTTTTTTTTTTTAATTAGCTATGTATATAATTATAAAAATTGCCAAATCAGCATTACGACTCTACAGTTAGATTTGACATATAAATAAAATAAACTGTTGCAGTGTCGAAACCAATGAATCGATTTTAATGAAACATGGTTGCAATCTTCTCCTCAAAGAACTTTAAATTTATGTCTATAATATACTTCATCAAAATGAAGCTGGAATAAATAATTACGATGTTAAAATTTGATTTCCGAAAAATACAAAAATTATTAACTTTTTTGTTGATATTGTATGCGGTCATTTGAAAGTATACTAAATTATCTAATAAATAAAAGAAATAATTAAAATCGGATCATTTGGTAAAAAGCTATGTTCCAAATATTTGCCAAATGTTCTAAAGCAAAGCTGACCTTTGTTTTGTCTTAAAGAAACCGTATGCCGTATCTTTGTTAATACTGGATGGATTTTGATAGAACTTTTTTTATCGTTTAGGAAATTTAAATGTTTTCAAAATATGTTCTGTCGCAAAAAATGCATACTTTTGAGTTATTCACAAATATATTTTTGGATTCATCAAAACTTCTTTTCTAGTCCTTTTTCGAGGAAGCATGTTATGTACATAAATTTAGACTTTCATAGGGAATACTTTAGGAAAGTTTTTATCAATACCGTTACAGCCGTTTTAGTGCTATAGTCTATAGAAAACCGTTTTTTTTTTTTTTTTAGTTTTTCCGCCACCATCTTGAAAAACATATTGGTGGCTGGTGATGAGACCCCCTTAAGGCACCTCTCCAACACTAACTCAATATAGATACAAAATTTCAATCTTCCAACTTCATCGGCTCAACGGAGAAGCCGTGGAAATGTGCAATACTTTAAAAACAGGAAAAAGTGTTTTAACTCGCAGAAATTTCGACACAATTTTTCAAAGATTAATAGTATTGTTCTGCTAGTGGGTACCAACTCTATACCGGATTTCAGTGTATTCGGGCAAACAGTGAATTTTAGTGGGTAGAATACACACACATATATGTGTGTGTGTGTGTGTGTGTGTGTGTGTGTGTGTGTGTGTGTGTGTGTGTGCGTGCGTGCGTGCGTGCGTGCGTGCATGCGTGCGTGTGTGTGTGTATATATAGATAGATAGAAGATAGATAGAAAGTAAACTTTATTCTGGGACAAGGTCCCTTATGAATGACAGATATGAACAAAAAAATTAAAACTACATCTGGCCAAAAATTACATTAGTCAATATTAAAGAATATATACAGTATCTTCAGTGAAATTAAATTAAAACAAGTAAAAATAAAATAAAATTTTGAGAAAAAACGAAATAAAAAAAAACAACATTATTTAAATGAAGATAAAAATAAAATAAAATAAGCATGGGTTGATTTTTAAAATTAAGACAATAAATTTTATCAATCATTCACCTCAGTCAAAATCTATTTCACAATATTTATTTTATTGTATAACGTCATTTTGGGATGTGAGAAGGAATTGGTAAAGATGATATTTAAATGAGGACAAGGAAGAGGCATGGCGGATTTCAGATGGCAAGGAATTCCAGAAGGCTGTGGATCGGGAAATAAAGGAATATTCAAACGTCTTAGTTCTATGGGAAGGGATATAAAGGTCGGAAACACGGGATCTTGTTTTCTGGGAGTGGACCACGGGTTTAAACTGTAGGAGACTGTAGATGTAAGAAGGGTGTCTAGTGTTGATTGTTTGGAATAGGAAAGATCCGAGGAAATATTGTCTGCGGAAAGAAGGGAAGAGCCACTTTAACTCGTCGTAAAGGTGGGACACATGAGATCGCTTTGATGTACCAAAGACAAATCTTAAGCACGTATTCATGAGTCGCTTCAATCTATCCTCGAGTACCATTGGGATGCCTCCGTACACCACACAGCCGTAGTCAAAGTGGGGGAAAATGAGAGAGGATACAAGGAGCTTGCGGATGGGTTGTGGGAGTAGGTGGCGGGAGCGATGAAATATGTATATATACTAAATGTATATATACATATACACAGGGTGTTCTGTAAGTTGATGGAAATATTTAAAAGGTAGATAGTATTCATCAAGATCTACAAAAAAGTTCATCTAAACAATTGCCCGTCCAATGTCCATCAGAAAAGTACAAAATTTAAGATTTTTGTTTTTTTAAGCAAGTCATGTTTTTTTTGTTGAATATGATGTAACTATTTGATTTAAGAAATTAAATGTTGCTCCATAGTAAACTAGACAAAATTTACTTCAAAAGAAAGTTGAGATTGTCATTGTTGAAACCATTTAAAGATAATTTACTTCAAAAGAAAGTTGGTGTTGTCATTGTTGAAACCGTTTAAAGATAATTTACTTCAAAAGAAAGTTGAGGTTGTCATTGTTGAAACCATTTAAAGATAATTTACTTCAAAAGAAAGTTGAGGTTGTCATTGTTGAAACCGTTTAAAGATAATTTACTTCAAAAGAAAGTTGAGGTTGTCATTGTTGAAACCATTTAAAGATAATTTACTTCAAAAGAAAGTTGAGGTTGTCATTGTTGAAACCATTTTAATAAAGAGGACTATTGAGAGGACAAACTGATTGCTATATTTTGATATCTTTTATAATGTTAAGAGTCATTGAGGCCGGATCTATTATAATGTGGGTTAATGTGTTTTATTACTAAATTTTGCTCTGAATATAATAAAATATTGCAGTTGTGGTTGATTAGGTGGGTGGAGGATAAATACATGCTGATAATATTTGCTGTTCCACTCTCCATGGCCTTTTCTCTCTTCCAGGCCCCCCTGCTAGGATGCTAGAGTTTACTTCTCCATGCCATGTCCTTCTTATAAAAAAAAAGAAAGATCTTAATTTGATTGCGGGCCAGATGAGTGATCTCCTGTCTTAAGTTGACTTGAATTCAACAGAAAAAGGGCATGTGTAAACCCTCTCTACTTATTTCAGGTCTGCTTCTCTTGCCCGCAAAGAGATGTCAGCAGTGCAGCTTGCTTTAATTTAAAATGACATAAAATAGGAGCTCTGCTGTGTTTCCTAAACAGTTGTTTTCGACTTTTCTCAACTTTAATCCAGTAATATTCTATTTAATAAAGAAAATACAACAGATTGAACAGAAATGGCACCGGCAAGTTGATATCACTGATGTAGTTGGTGTCTCCTCGGGCTTTATCCAGATTCAGAAAACCCGGAAGTACCAATAGGAGACCTGTTATTGAATTTCAACGCATTATGGCATCAAAGGGTGATAAAAATATTGGTGTGTGCATCACCAGCAACTCTGCAGATCATTGTGCAGGATCTAGATGAGAATACAAATTGGAATGCTGTTATGTTTAGAGAAAAGTCACATTTCTGTATTTATAACGAACAAAGGTGCCGAAGAGTCTATGGAGAACAGGGAATGGCTACACTGCCAAAATATGTGCTTCCTTCAATGCAGTCTAGAGGTACGGTCTACTCAGGAGGATGGACTCTACCTCCATATTGTGAAAGGTAATCTCATTGCAGTTCATTATGTTTAAGAAATTATAGAGGAGTACATTCCTCAAACCAGAGCCATAATTAGCACATACTTCCATTTTCTTGACGACAATACGCAATCAATGACATGAAAATCTGATCGTTTCACATCTGCCCCTTCCCGTATGGTTTCCACGTCTTAATCCCATTGAACACGTGTGGAATTCACTGAAGAGAAGGTTTTTGGACCATCATTTGCAGCTTCTTAACCTTCAGCAACTGAGCGTAGTATTGACATGTTTATGGCATAAAATTCCTTGTGAAATTAGTGACTACATTTTAAGCAGTATGCTCAATAGGTGCAAGTAATATATAATAGTAGAGGTAATATGTAACTTAGGATATTACAATAATTATTAAATTTTACAAAATGGTTAAAATTCGCAATCATAAAAAAAGATCACATAAACTCTTAATTTTATTAGTTTTTTAAACATCTTTCATAAAATACAATCTGATTTATATTAATTTCCTATGTATTTTATGATAAAAATAAAATTTAAGTTCTAGGAAGTTACAAATAAAATCATCCATAAAGACCTTAATGTTCCGTATGTTTCCGATTTGGCCCAATCCAGATACCTATCCTTCCATAATAAACTGCAGAACCATCCGAATCCTCTCGTTTCAAACCTTCCTTCCTCATCAATCCCTGATAACCCTCCGAGACGCCTGAAAAGAAGATGGCCTTGGGACCTTCTAATATAGAACTTTAATTTGAGTTCTACCAATGGGTAGTTTCTCTTCATGTTGTACATGTCATGTTACCAATGTCACATTTACTTGTTGTATTTTCCATATAATACAGTTGTAAATTTCATTAAAATAAAAAAAGTTCTAGGAAAAATAAATCATACATAACTAACAATATCCTTATTAATTTTTGTGCTGTGTATATAGGTTTGCTAAATATCAATGCTTATCTCAATATGAGTATGATTTTGAGATAGGATTAACAGTTATAGCCTTAAGATTGATTTATATTTTTATTTAGGTATTGCAGTGGCGGAATCAACAGTGGAAAAAGAAAGCGGAGTTCAAGGAGTATCACAGAGCCTCCGAGAACTGTCCTAGCACTCCATAGGCTTAGCTTGAGAGATGATTCCACTCATCCTCATAGTAGTTCCTCTCTCTCTAGTTCTGAAAGTGACACTGGAATTTATACCAATGATGAAGGCCGTGAAGGTTTGTTACTTTTTGCTTGTATTCATATTAAATTATTTATTACTTTAATTAGTAATATAGGTATATCATTAATTAAGTGATCATGCTTTTCTCAAAATATTTTCTCTATTTTCATTTCAGTTATTATATAATTGATACAATTATATGTGTATATGGTTTATTTGAAATACTGTTGTATGTTACTGTTTTAGTGAAAACATTGTTACTTGTAGCTATTATCACTTAGAAGGTGGTGTTGACAATCCTTCTCTGTATGTTCAAATCTTCTAGTTTCCTATACATAAAACCTTTGCTTCCATATTTTAGCTGTCATTGATAGTAATTTTTTAATTAACTAGTTTGTTCTTATGAAATTTTCCAACAAAAACCACAAGAAAGTTATCAAATTATTTAAGACATACTCTTGAATCAAAGTACTGTTCTTCTATTTTCTTAAATTATCATAAAATTAATTTTAAATATAAATAAGTGAACTAAATAAAATATCCTTTTTTTATTATCAATGCTCCTACCTTGCCATTTGTGCATATAGCAGGGAGGAGGGGTTGTTTTAAAGGTGAAACCAAATTGTGCATTTTGATAGTAGGGCAGATTTAATCAACCTAGAGCGGCAGAATCAATCCCAGACACCATTTTTTAGGCATAGATTCATCATTCCATGTTTCAAATATAAGATTGTAAATTTTTTGACGTAGGTACTCACCTCCATATTTAAAAAGCTCTGCTGGAAAATTGTCCTTTTCAGGAGCCGTCCTGTTAGACTTCTAATGGTTCACAAAATCCATAAAATGTTTGTATGAAGGAGGCTCTGCATCCCGGAAAACCTTCTGGAGCCCAGATCATTAACTATACTCAGTGACGTTATGGCCAGTTCCGAGTACATCCTGAAAATGTTCCGCCCATCTATCAAAGATCTCATTCTCTTCTCCAAGGAGAAGACCCTCCTTACTGTGACAGTTGTTTACTTTAGGTTGGAAGGCAGTTCTCAGCTTCTTGACGAAGTGACAAAATCTTCTTCTTTCATTTATCTTGTTTAGTCCTTCTGTAAGCTCCTTTTTTTTTTTTCTTTTTTTGTCCTCACCTTTAAAGCTATACGGGGTTTTTCTGGGACCAGAGGGTGTGGGCGGGGATTTTAAAAGATTCCTCCGGCACCGGGATGCGAACTCGTGACTATTTTTTATAACTTTGTCTCATATATCAGGTTCAGGTTGCCGAGCAACGGTGGTGCTGTGCACACGCGTTAGCCCATTCGGCCCTCCCCTCTCTCCCCCCGTCCACACAGTCATTCCTTTGTACTACTACACTTTTTGTCTGGAAGATATTAACACATTTTCAATTTGATTAACTCTGGTTAGTCTGAACCAGGCCTCTTATTGACATATTTCTTTGGACTACCCTCTGAATGGTAGTTTCTGCCACATGACAAAGCAAAGTATACAATTTAATCATCAGCATGCTGAGAAGAATACAGATGATTTTAAATGCAAGAGGAGTTATTACAGATATCAACTAAATTAATTATCTTTGTTACTAAACCATTTTATAAAAAAAAATCCCCAAAGAAAATCTAACATCATTGATAATAGATTTACTTGGAATATAAAAAAAAAATCAAAAGTTTAATAGAAAAAAATAGTATAGCCCCTAATAATAAAAAGATTTTCTGCCCATGAACCAAACTGTTAGGTAGTCTTTCATGTTCTCAATTATTTTATTTGTTATAGGTGATGATGAACAGAGTGATTGGGTAGGGGATGGTGCTTCTGGCGGTCGAGGAGTATGGGAAGATTCTGACCGCGGTGAACCAATGGAAGATGATCTTCCTCAGAGTTATCGTCTTCTTGCTGAAAGTCTTGTAATTTTTCTTTTAATGATAATGGTTTGGTAAACCATATAGATTTATATTTATAATTAGTAATCATACTGTCATTTGTCTTTGGCTTACTAGATTGGAAGAAGTCATGGGCGAGAAATTAGAGGGGGAAGGAGAAGGGTCCGTAGTGACAGAGCCAGTTTTAGTGTTTTGACTTCAGCAAATGAGAAGCTTTCAAGGTTCCTTCAAGATCCTGAAAAATCACAGTTGAGGTTAGTTTCCTGATTGTTATGGTTGCTTCTTGACCCAAGATTTATTGATTTTGATTTTTCAGAATGATGACAACTATTTATGAGATGAAATGAAATCTACAACCATTGAGCTCATTGATTTAATTTTAAAATTAAGGACTCTCAGAAGCAGGGATAATTCAAGTTAATAATCATTTAATTTGGAAAATTAAATACGGTTATAGTCTCTAAAAGTGTTTTATTGGTGTCTAATAAACAAAGCATACATTTGAAGCTTTAAAGTTTATTTTATTATTTTTTTATTTTATCAATTTTGTAGAAGTTAATCAAAGCAACAGAAAAGCTCATAATCCTTATAAATAAACGAATTGCTAGTACCTACACAGTTTTCCAAAAATAATCCATTAACTCTAGGTATGCAGACAAAGCTAAAGAAAATTATTTAGTATAGATATTTATATGGATTAATGTATTTTAAAAAACAATTTTTATCAACCTCAAAATGCAGAGTTATATTTGAGGAGAATAATATGATTATTATTATTTTTGTTTATTTAATAAGAATGAATTTAAAAATTTCTGAAGTGCCAATTCCTGTTGTGATTAACTATAATATTTAAGTCCATCAAATCATTCAAATAGGTTCAGCCATTTACTCTAAAAACAGCAGTGTGGATAGTATAGGACCTTTCTAGAGACCTTACAGAATGTGATTTCTTCGAATGCTTTATTTCATTGTTCAAGGAATAATGGCAATAAAGTAGATGGTTGCTCAGATAATTCTTCGTGCAGACTCTCATATAAAACTCTATCATATTAAATCAATAGCCTATGATTTTATATTTTAGTCACTTTGTTCTTGGCTATTTTTGCTTATTTCAGATTGTGTTTGGTTGCTTACACAAACCTTTAGTTTCGCCAGATTGTGTTGTTGGCTGAAGTTATTCTGGAAGCCCAGCCTGTTCATGTGCAGTTATTGGTATTTCTAGGTTGTAAAATAATTACAAATTTTGACAAAACCTTGCTCACATATGGATGTGAAAGGCTGAAGGGAATTCTTAAGGGTTTTGAAAAATTGTAATATTGAGAGAAACAAGTTGAGCTTCTCTCGTTATTTAACTTCAAAGCCCAAGATTTCATCACAGAATGTTGTGGTTATCCATAATAATATATTTAGAATTTTTGCACATACTGAAATTTAATTATTTTTAAGTAACAATAATAAAAAAAATTAAAAAAAGAAACCTGTACCACAACAACCCATGAAGGATCATGGGTTCAGTACAGTGTGAGGAATTATTATTACAAGGCCAACGGTTGTGCAGGGAGGTGACAGGGCTGATATCACGCTCAAACGCCAGGTTTTTCCCCTTAATTAATTATTTAATTAAGAGTACCCAAGGGCTTGGTGTGCCCCAGGAGGGTCTCCCGATCCCAGGGTCAATCCACTAAAATTACTAGTCATCAGAAGTTACTATAATAATTTCTTAAATTTAATATTATAATGGTTTGTATACATCAAAAGTTACATAAATAGTGAGTATTCAAAAAATCTAGATAGCATTTAGTTTTTTGCAATTCAAAAGATTCTGCAACATTCGAAGTATATCAAAGAGTCTAGATAATGGTCTATAACAATATTAGTTCACCTTAAAGTTAGTTCCGAAATTGAGTTCAGTTTTAGTTTACATTGAGATCATTTAGTTTGAAATAGCTAAATAGCCGGCCACTTTGATGAAGTTTCTTCAGCTTTCGAATTAAATTATGGCCGTAGATTCTTCTACTTCCTAATTTTTGGCCATGATCATTATTTTTGCACAGGTAGATCTGACAATTTTGAAATTAAGCAATATCAGAAAATGTAATTTCTTTATAAACAAATTGTAGCATGTGATATTGACACATAAGCATTATAAATAATATTCCTAGGTAAATTCTATGAATCATGGTAAAATGAGGTTGCATGATTGATATACAAAATTAAATTTGTAAGAAGAACGGGAAAAGAAATAAATAAAATCATGGTGAAACTCTACTAATCTTGATAAAATAAGGTCATGGTGCTGATTTATCTGCTCAAATTAAGGAGAGGAGAGGACCAAAAAAAATTGTCAAAGTCTGCCACCGACCTTGAAAAAATATTGTGATCTTATTTTATATCAGTCTTTGCTTTAATTTATGTGTATGTAAATCCCTTGACAATTGATTGAAATATCTATTAGCAATAAAAATAATATTCTAAGTATGAATCAATGGTCAAAGTCTAATAATCTCGATAAAATATTACCTTACTTTATATCGGTCTTTGCTTTAATTTATGTTAACGTCAATTCATTTATAATTTATTGACACATCTTTTAGTGTTTTGTGTAAATGATATTGTACCTGAGTGCTGCCTTGTGGTGAGTCTTAAAAACAGATCTGATAAAAGATTTAAAAGATAAGTGTCGAGTCGCCCAAGCTACGAGCTTCTCACCCATTTCAAGCCAGTCACTAGAACAGAGAGGTTCTCAGACTGAAGAAGGGCATCCCTCTTCCTTCAAAGTCCATGTAAAATTTATATGCCAGCATGAAAGGGTGAGTTTTACTTTACATAATTTATATAACCTACCACTTTCAATAAAAATTATGTCGAATGTTGAAGCAGAACTCATTAGAGTTATTTGCCTTTTTGAATTAAATTGGAAAGTTGCCTAAACAATTAGCAATAAAACTAATATCCCAAGTATGAATCTAGATAAAATATATCTAGGTCGTAGCATTGATATTTCGGTCTTTAGAATATTGCTATCTGCTCAAATGGGTGGAAGATAAGAACTAAGGAATTAATAAAATGAAATTGTAAAACTACCAATCACGATAAATTAAGGTCACAAGGTCGATTTATTGATCTTTGCTCAAATTTATGTTTATGTCGATTGATTGGTACACTCATTAGCAATAAAACTAATATTCCAAGTTTGGATCTCGATAAAATATGATTGTATGGCCAATATTTCGGTCTTTGGAATATCGCAATCTGCTCAAATGAATGGAAGAGAAGGACCAAAAATAAAAATAAAAAATGGTAAAATTACCAATCTCAAAAAATGAAATCATCAGGCCTATATATCGGTCTTTATGATATTGGTATCTGCTCAAGGAAGGAGAGGACCAAAAATGTTAAATAAATAAATAAAAAAAAGGTCAAACTACCAATTTCGCTAAATTAAGGTAAGGTCGATATATCAGTCTTTCCTCAACTTTATGTTTATATGGATTTAAGTCTTGATAAAATAATAGTACTCTATGAATTATGATAGAACAAGGTGGTAAGGCTGATATAATGGTCCAATGGCAGGACAAAAATAAATTGAAAGGATAGTACATTTAAAAAAAAAAAAAGAAAGAAATAGTTAAACTCTACCAATCTTGATAAAATAAGGATGTGAGGCCATTATATCGGTCTTAGGAATATCTGTATCTGCTCAAATTAGGGGAGAAGTGGACCAAGAAAGAAAAAATTCATAAAAAATGGTATAAGTTTATCGATCTCACTAAAATAAGTTCACAAGGCCGATATTTCGGTCTTTGCTCAAATTTATGTTTATGTCGATTCCTTGAGGATTGATTGACACTTTTATTAGCAGTAAAAATAATATTCCAAGTCTCAATCTCGATAAAGTATGATCGTAAGGCCGATAGTTCGGTCTTCGGAATATGGCAATCTGCTCAAATGAGGGGAAGGGAAGGACCAAAAATAACAAGTAATAAAAATACCAATCTCAACAAAATGAAGTCATCAGGCTGATATATCAGTGTTTATAATATAGGTATCAGCTCAAATTAGAGGAAGGAGAGGAGCAAAAATATTAATAAATCGCAAGACCGATATATCGGTATTTTTTCTAATTTTTGTTGATGTTAATTCTTGACGATTGATTGACACATCTATTAGCAATAAAAATAATATGAATCTTGATAAAACAATGTCGTGTAAGGCCGATATATCAGTCTTTAGAATATCGGTATCTGCTCAAATTTTGGAAAGAGGAGGTTAATAAAAAATGTTTATATATATTTTGGTATCGGCTAATATTTATATTTATGTCAAACCCTAGATTAATATTTTCATTCAGTAAATAGGAGAATTTTCTGTGTGACGTATGGAGCTAGTCAAATATGAATGAAAGACTTATATGCTGAAATATAGGTTTACCTGTCAAAATTTGTGTATAGGCCGATGCATCGATGGTCTCTTTATTATTTAGCAATAAGTAGGGTATTCCATGTGAAACTTTACAAAACCTGACAGAAAGGGGAAAAAGGCCATAATGTGTTCAGTCTTACTTTATGATTATGAGATTTATACTACTTTCCAGGCTTGTGAACAGGAACTCCTAGGCTTTAAAAGAAGAATCCTCAGATGTATTTATGGTGGTGTTCTTGTCAGAAGAGATTGGAAAAGGAGAAATGGAGCTGCACACCATGGTTCAGGAGTCCGATATAGTTCGAGTGATGAAGATTGCAAGATTGAGATGGGCAGAGCACGTAGTCAGGATGGGCAGCTAGGATCCACCAAGACAACTGCTGTTGGAGCCACTCCATGGTACCAGGAGAAAAAAACCGAAGCTGCGATGGGTTAATGGTGTTGATGCTGATGCAACAAATATACTGAGGCTTCGGAATTGCAAGGAAATGAGACCATTGGTGGAAGCTGCTGGAGGACCTCAGTATTCGACAGCGGATCGTAGAGCCATGCTAATAATAATAATAACAGAAATAATTTCAATTAATGAATGCTGTTTTATTGAGATATAATTGGAAAAATTTATATTAAATTATTTTTAATCTATGAAATATTTGTTATTATAAAACTATGATTTCTACTGATATTTGTTTAATTATTAATTAATGCCCTCTGCAGATTAGGAATTGGACTTTGTGAGTTCTTGCATGCCTACCTACTAAGAAGACTTGATCCTCTGACCTGCGAGAGCTGCGATGTCCAAATGATAGTAAAACATGTTATACAAGACTGCCTTACATTTCAACCTGTTAGGAAAAAATTGGACATGGCACTAAGCCTAAAAGAAAATTTATAAAACATTGAAAGAGAAGTTAAAAAAACATTAAGATTCTTAAAAGCGGTGGTGAAGTTCTAATCAATAATCAAGTTTAATTTTAATGTGTTACCTGTGATCCTACATGGTAGAGGTAACAAAAAAAAAAAACAGAAATATATAAATAATTGTTTTATTAAATTTAAATCTGACTATAAAGCTTTTTAGGCGTACTATTGTTGAAACACTGTGGCCTAAAAACTTCAGAAGTAGTATTAATAAAAAAAGAACCTGTAACACTACAATCCATAAAGGGTATTTGGTTCATGTGCTATGTTCGGAAGTGCTGTTTCTTGGTCAAGGGTTGTGCAAGGAGATGATTGCCCAAGATTTTTCTCAACTGCCAGGTTTTCTCCCTTAATTAATTAAGGGTACACGGTTTATAGATGTTGGGTATTCCCCAGGAGGGTCTCCCGACCCCACGGCTGATGAAACACAATAAATGTTAATTTGCCATCAGCTGGATTTGAGTCTGGAACCTTGAGGTTTCGTAGTTAATGCTCAAGTGTTTGAATCATAGAATAGAATAGAAAAATCATCTTTATTCTGGGACTAGGTCCCTTTAGAATAACAGTATTGTTCATATATATTAACTACAAATCTGGTCAAAAGACTTATTACAATGAATAATGACAAAATACATGTAATACATTAAGTATTAATTAGGCTCTTAGGATAAATTAACGAGGACAGTTGGGTAATAGGGGTTCAGTACTACAATATTCGAGCTAAAATAATTGCATAATAATCACTGACTGAAATTAGAAAGGAAAGTAAAATCTATTTTATAGGTAAAGCATTGTAGTGATGTAATATAAAAATTTTAAAAAATAATAATAACTGTTAATATGTAGGGAAAGAAATTGTAAAAACTAAAACAAAAAAATATATAAAAAAACAAATAGTGATATACATATGTTCCCTAAGATATTTAAGTGATTATGCGTAAAGATTAGGAGAAGAGAAAATAAAATAAAGTATATATATACACATAGCGAGAAGTATGTTGAAGATAATTAGAAATAAAATACATTTCACTGAAATACATTCCATGAATAACAAATTAGAACTTAAGGAAAACAAATTTTATCTACTCACAATGCTTAGTGAGTGGTGATGAAAATTCACGTTCAACACAGAATAAAACAATAAAAAATAAGAGAAAAAAAATAATGTCTAAAGAAAATTAAATCCTTATAACATAGTATGTATTTAACCAGCGTCTGATTGGATTGTGAAGAGGAATTGGAATAAGAGGGTTTTAAAGGTGGATAAGGATGATGCATGGCGGATTTTTAGTGGGATGGAATTCCAGAATGCAGTGGAACGGACAACGAAGGAATGTTTAAATGATGCAGATCTGTGGAAAGGAGTGTAAAGGTCAGAAGGACGAGATCTTGTGGAGAGGGTGTGGATAGATGATTTGAATTGTAGGAGATTGTATGCGTAGGACGGACGATGACTATTGATTATTTGGTAAAGGAATGTGCCTAGGAAATATTGTCTTCGGAAGGAAGGGAAGAGCCATCCTAATTCAGCATAGTGGTGCGAAACACGGGAATACCTCAGGGCCCCTGTGACAAATCTTACGAAGGCATTCATAATTCTTTTCAGTCTCTCCCCGAGTTCTGCCGAGAGGCCACCGTACACCACGCAGCCGTAATCAAGGTGGGGGAAGATGAGGGAAGTTACTAGGAGTCTACGTGTGGAGATGGGTAGGAGATGGCGGAAGCGATGGAATAGTTTCAAGGTACCAATTGACTGTCGGGTAATGTGAGCAATATGGTGTTTCCAGGATAGGGTTTGGTCTATGAAAATGCCTAGGTTTTTTACTGAGGAGGTGAAGGTAATGGGATGGTCATTTAGGTACAGTATAGGTATGTTGGTATTGGCTCTGAGAAGGGGTTTGGAACCAATGACAATGGCTTGAGTTTTTGCAGCGTTTAACCTTAACCCATTTAAGTTTGCCCAGGCACTGATCCGATTCAAGTCTTCTTGAATTTTGGCAAACGCTTCATGCAACTCTGAGGGATGGAAGGAAAGGTAGATTTGGGAGTCATCGGCGTAAAGGTGATGGGAGCAGTGAAGGATTGAATTATGGATGTCATTGATATAAGAACTAAAAAGGAGGTGAGATATGCTAGAGCCCTGGGCCACTCCTGCGGACAAAGTAAGATAGGAAGATAAGGGTTGATTAGGAATAGCGACAGCTTGTGAGCGTTGGGAGAGGAATGATTGAAACCATAGGATAGAACTATGGGAAAAGGATAATGATTTTAATTTGGAAAAGAGAATGGAATGGTTGATGGAATCAAAGGCTTTGGAAAAGTCAATGAGTATAAGGACAGTTAGCTTTTTGTCATCAATGGCAGACTGAACATCATTAATGATTTTGATTAGGGCGGATTGTGTGGAATAACCTGGTCGGAAACCAGATTGGTAAAGGTCAAGTTGATTGGACTGTTCAAGGAAGGTGGAAACTTGGGATTGCACAATTCTCTCCAGGAGTTTGGAAAGGATTGAGATTGGCCGGAAATCTTCAGGGGAAGACGGATTAGAATTTTTATTTAAAGGAACAGTTAGAAGAACAGTTAATATGAAATTTATTCCTATCTTTTGTTCTGAAATGACACTGAAACTTTTTTGAATTTAGAATTCATTTCTAATGACAAATCCTTCCTATCATAAAACATCAGAACAATGCTTATAAAGAAAAAAAAAAGGGGAGGAAAACTGCTGCTGGATTTGATTATTTTAATTAGTTTGATTATTTTAGTTGTAATTCTTGAAAAACTACACTGGGAAAAAATAAATTATGAAAATCTTTATCTAAATAAATCCATGCTCCTTTATGACTACTATATTCATTAGTCATTTTGATGATGTTGAGTATATCAGTAGAATGTTAAGGCTAGAAAATACTAATAATAATCAAATGATTTTCTCCTGACATTTGATAAATATGAAAAATTTCCTCTAAAACCTATTTTTTCCTCTCTAATACCCCTAAGATTTAAAAGAGGAAATTCTTCTTCTTCTTTAGCTTTCCTCTTTAGTTCCTTTCAGGGTAGAGGAGCATTCAGCCAGGAATTCCATTAGAGGAAATTCAAAGATATTAAACATTAAATACTCTAAAGTAATGTTTTCAAGTCAACAGTTAATTTTTTGATATGTTAATGGATCATTTGTTGTTTATTCTTTTTTATTAATAACTTTATGCAAACATTGACCATTTCTATTTAATTTTTGATATAACGTATATTTTGATTCAATTCACTTCCAGAAAAGGCCTACAACAAATTTTTGTTTGAAATTCTACCTCTCTCCTGATTCTTTAGGAATCATACCTTAGGAACCATATCATTCCTTTAAATTTCGGAAGCTTTATATATCTTCAGTTGTATTGTGTTTATAATTATTATATTTTTATAATTATTTTATTTTATATTATTATATTAACTTATTATAAATTTGTTTTTCAATATGTTGAATGTGCTTTGTTCATTAGGTAAATGTATCTATTGCAATATCAAGGGAGGAGTGAAATGCAACCTTCAGTTGGATGCAATATTATGAATTGTGATACAACTTATCTGTGAGATTGAAAATTAAATGTCTATTTAGAATTGAGGGAAAAATTAATAAATTGAACTCTTAACTGAAAAATGCTTATATTTTAATCTTAAAATAACATTTCTACTTTCAGTTACCTATATATGAAATATATAGTAAGGGTAAGTATTGCGATCATGAAAATTTTCGAATCTAAGTTTTCAACGGAAATACATGTTTTGAGGTCTCCTGAGTCCAAATAACCAAGTCCCATAAAATGGTCTGTGTGCGTTAGCAGTCTAGCTCAAAAACAAAAAGTTATAAGAAAGTGAAATTGCATATTAAAGTTTTTTATATGCCTCAGATTTTACAGAAACTTTTTCCATAAAATCGGCTAACCGGAAATGCCACTTTATATCAATGGTGAAACGCATTTTTCCAATTTTCTCAAAAACGGCTCTTAACAATTTTGGTTAAACTCAATGTGTCATTGTATAATTAAGTGGTATTTAATATCATTTAGGTTTTATTCCCATTGATGTCAATTTAAAGGGCTTAAATGCCCAATGTTCATATATGTCTTCCTCTAAAGTCCTTTATTATGGTTTATTTAAAAAAATTAACTCTCTTTTACTGACAGTAACTATAAAAAATGGCTAAATATGAAGTTTGAAAGAATAAGATAATTGGAAACTGGAGGAAAAAAAAAAAAAATGATTATCCAGCTTGAAAATGAATCTCCGGAAATAACAGTCATAAGGTATACGTATAATGTATCATTGAAAAGCAGAGAATTTTAGAAAAAAAAATAATATCAAATAAATAAAGTAATAGAAGGTTACGGAGAGTGACAAAATAAATATCAATAATAATTTCAGAAAACTAACTTTGTTTAACCTAAATCACATGTTTTAAATGAAATTTTCCTACTAAATGTAAACTTTTAAATTTTTTCAAAGTTTGAAAAAAATATTTAAATTCCTCCAAATCATGCTAATGTCATTGTTTAAAATAATATTTAATTGTACTTGTGTGAAAGAAGAAGTGAAATATAAAAATATTTCATGGATATTTTTATAACCTTAAATACATTTGATGTAGTTTAATAACTCCAGATATCATATTATGTTTAAATAGGTATCTATTGGCGATTTATTTCATGAAATCATCTAGTAACCTGTTAGAAAATTAAATTAGTGAATCATTTGATTAATTTTCTCTTTGTGGAATCCCAACATTATCCACTTACAATTAGTGTGACAACTTTGACTTAACCATGGCAGTCAAGGAAAATCTCGTAATTTCATTTTAGTAAACTTTACAGTGGAAAATAATAGTCCTACAATCCATTATCATCTATTATCTCTTTTCTAGTTTCCTAAATTGGTTCCAATCCTTCCTTACTGGTCGCTCTCAGTATGTTGTAATTCCTAATAACCCCCATCAGAATCTCAACTCCTGTCCAGAGGCGTCCCACAAGGCTCTTCCTTATCCCCCATCCTTTTCTTTATCTACATAAATTACCTCCCATCCTCTATCCTGCAAAATTTACCTCTCCTTTAATCTGACCGATTTCTCAGATGCCATTATAAAACTTCAGGAAGATATTAACAGAATAAGTGCTTGGGTACCTCAACATGCTCACTATGAATGCCAAGAAGACAAAAGCCATCTTGATCTGACCCCCTCACTCCTCAAATCCTACCGGTATCTCCCAATCTCCTCCTGAACAACTCACCTATCTTATTCCACACCACCGTTTAAAACCTAGGAGGTTACTTTTGATCAGACCCTATCCTGGAAACCACACATCTCCCAAATTTCCCATTGCACTATCTTCACCCTAAAACAGTTCAATTATCTACGATATCTCCTTCCATATAAGTCCCATCAACTCCCCTAGTTTCCTCCCTTGTTTTCCCCCACTTCGACAATGGCTATATGGTGTACGGTGGACTCTCAGGAGATTTCGAGGTCAAACTTGAACGCCTAATGAATTGTGCACTACGATTTGTTTTCGGAATCTCAAGGGATACGCATATTACCCAGTATTACACTGAGTTGAGGTGGCTCTACCCATCCTATCACCGTCATTACTTCCTAGACACCGTTCTGTACCAGATCATTTGAACTCATCAACCCTCCTATATTTTTCACAGCTATATTTTACAATTCAAATACTCCATCCAATCCCGTCCCACTAGATCTCGTACTTCCGAACTCTATCCTCCTCACCGAACTGCTGTGTTTGACAAATTTTTTGCAATACAAGCCGCCTCC